AAATCTAGGCCTAGAAGCATATGCTCAATTACGTCTTCTGCCCGAAATGTTAGTTCTGTGTTTTCTTTATGTTTTCTTTGATTTTTTATTTTTAAACAATTTTTCATTTTCTTTTCTTTTATATTTATTATCATAGGGGATTTAAAATATGTCAAACCGAGCTTAGTAGTTCATTCGATTGGAATGAAACATTAATCTATCATCAATTTCCACTTGAACGGGTTAGTCAATTTATCAATTCGTTTTTTATTTGAAAAAAAAACATTAAAAAAATCTTCTTTTCACCTAGATTGAAAAAATTACCCTAGATTTGAGTATTTGGTGTACGAATCCAGCAACTTATATACCGGGTACTGGTGGCGGTTTAGGTGTCAGCGGAGGTGGTGGAAAACCACCCAGAATAACTATTAGTGGAAATTCAACAATTCAAATAATTGATCATCAATTAGCATCGACAAGAATACCATTACGAAGTGCATTGTTAACACCAATATCCGAATGGTGGCCATTAATACCAAGCAATACTGATATACAAATTTTTCAACAAAATCCATCAATCACTACCACGGCCAATACCGTCAATACCAATACCACTATACCATCATTGCTCAATCATCAATCAAATATTAGCATCAGTCAACAATCATTATTAAATCCATCCAATCATGCTTCCATATTTTCGACAGCTACAGCTATTTCAACTACAGCTTCCAATTCATCAATAACGCCTACAGTATTTTTTCAAAAAGCTCCATCAATGGATCATCTTCATAGTGGTTCTCGTTCTGGTTCCGGTATTGAATTTTCTAAAAAATTCTATGGTTTCCTGATTCATTCATTCTATAATAACATTTTTTCTTTTCTGCTTTAAAATAAGGCCAAAATGGACAGCTGCTTCATGATCAAATGTTATCATCAGCTGCAATGATGATGATGATGACATCACGTTCGACACCTGGATCTCGTCGTAATTCAAATCGTTCTGATCAAGGTGATTTTCCAATATTTCCAAGCCATTTACAACCAATGGGTGGTAGTCGTTCGGCACGAACAAGTCCACGTATGAAAGCATCACCAACACCACCGCCTGTTTCAAATTGGTTCACTAGATACAGATCATCACCAACATCACGTGCTTCTAGTACGGTTAGTTCAGCTGCAAGTAGTACTGGGCGCCATTCATTAGATGAATCTTATACAAGTCATTCGGGTGGTGGTGGTGGTGGTCGCGAAGGTAATATTATTGGTAGCAGTAGCCGTGGAATTTCGCTAACTGGTTCATTACGTTTAGCGCAAAATCGTCATTCAATCGGAAATCTTTATCCTGTCGGTCCTGCTAATAATAATAATAATGCCAATGTCACTGCTGGATATATTACAGGAACAATGATAAATGACAGGATGCAATCTCAAAATTTTCAACATTTGTCCACTGCTGTTGTTGATCAACAACAACAATCATTAGCCATGCGTAGAAAAAGTTCTTCAGCATTAGTTCACGTGGATCAAGGTAAAATATCGGAATTTTTTTCACAAGGTTGCTTTCATAAATTAATATTTAAAAAAATTGATGCATTCTAGGATCAAAAAATCAACTTTCCGTCCCTGGTGGTGGTGGTGGTTATAGCAAATTAAGTAATACATCTGATTCATATCAATATCTTTTGGAACCATCAAATAGTCCACGTAATACAAGTGTTCGTTTAACAAATGCTAATGATAATTCTATTGAAATCGGGGATGATCATAGTGATGATCAAGAAGAATTTGATGATGAAATTGCTGATGATACATCAGATGATGATGAAGATTTTGATAATCTTTTAAAAGATAGTAGTTATACATTGGATTCATTAGAAAATAAACAAGATTCACGTAATAGTCCACAAAAATTACAGCAAAAAATTCTAGCTATTAATAATAATAATGATGAAACAACAAATCAAACATTGACAACTCAAACGACAAATCAATTAAATGCACCAAATACATTGGCATTACCATCAAAAAATATTCCCGTAAACGATGATGGTCAAAAATCGAATCTACTTTCAATTGATTCAATACATGGAAGTAGATATTCAGTTGAAACTTCTGGTGGTACAAGTTCAGCACCACCAACACCATCACATGATGATTATGATGATGATAATTCACAAAATGGTGGTGGTCTAACAATACCAGGTTGTCAAGAAAGGCGGCCAAGTTTTCTACGACGATTAGTACCATCAGCAGCTGAAACTGTAATGCATATGGTAATGGGTACAGGTGGTCCTGGTAGTAATGCACAACCATCGGATGAAATTCTTCATTCATCATCGATGATGATGACCACCAATACGACAACAACAACTAATGCACAATATGGACAAACAACACATCCACAGCATAGTGAACAAACACCAAAACGTATTGTAAAAGTTGTTGGTGAAATTAAACTTGGTTTTATTATGACCAAAGGATTTCTTGAAATTGAAGTTTGTGCTGCTCGTGGTCTGCCGGATTCAACAACATCAATCGGTCAACATCATCCTCCTGGTATGATTTTTTTTCTCTTTTGATTTTGAAATTCTGATTTTTTTTTTGAACATAATGATAAATGTTTTATGTGTTTTTTTTTGTTATTTTCCAGATACCTATGTCAAAACATATTTAATTGATCGAGGTAGACAACTATATAAACGAAAAACACATGTAGTTTTATGTAATAATAATCCACAATATCGACAAACATTAAAATATGATGCATCAATTATTTATGGCCGTACATTATTGGTATCAGTTTGGGAAAAACAACGTCGTCGTCATACATTTGATGCAAATATACCAATAGGTTCAGTGGAAATCAATGTTAATCAATTACAATTGCATAAATTAACTATTCGTTGGTTTAAACTACGAACGATTGTTACTACTACTCAACAACAACAATCAAATAATTCAACAGCAAGAAATTCATTAGTGGATGGTTGTTCATCAACATCATCAAACAATTCAGTACCAATGTTTAAACAACAAGATTCTATTGATTCAAATGATCCATTTATGCCAATGCAACCATCATCATCATCATTATCGACAAAATTGAAACCAACAATAACAATCGATGATGATGATTAGTCTATTGTGTGATGAAATGATGAAACTTGATGGCCTTATCTAAAAAATAACTTTTTTCGAATGTGAAATATGGATGAATATTATGTGCTGTTGTTTCGAAAAATGGAACAAAAAATTTTTTTTAAAATTCAAATTTTGAAATTTCATCATCATATCAAATTCACCACCACCACCACAGAAAATTTATCGCGATAAAAAATATGCAAAAAAATTATCAAATCAAATTTCCATATTTTTTTTCCAAATCTTTTCTCTTCAAATTCTTCCTCCCCTTTGCACACACTGTGAGTTTATTTTTGAAATCCACAATTCCACTGTTCCATATTTCCATGGCCAACCGACAAACCGATCCAATGTTGACTCCATGTTATTTATTTATTTTTTATTATTTTTCCTGTTTTGTGCAAAACAAAATATCAAAAAACAAAACAAAACAACCAAACAAACAACGAAAAGAATCCAAGAATAATGGATACATATCAAATGAATTATTATTATTATTTTATACACGATACACACATGATATATACATTGCCGCCCTACCAAAAACACATCAACTAAACAAGTGAAAAAACCACAAAAAACATCAATTTTTGTTCTCTTTTCTCTTCCCTGCCTATTAACGAATGATGATGTCCACTACCAAAACTGCTGAAAATAATCCCAACAAAAAACATGAAACAGAAATTCTGTTCCATTTGTTAGGCTAGTGAAAATCTTTTTTTCTTTTCAATTCAGATAGATAGATATCGGAAAATCATCATCGATATTTTATTCATAAACATAGATTTTCATAGATTTACACAAAAAAATAATGGTCCACACACGTTTCACGATCCGTTTTTGTTTTTGTTTTTTCGTGTTTAAATCGTTTTCTTTTTTCAATTCCATTTCATCCAAACAATTCACCAAAAAAACATTTGATAAATGTTGTTTTCCTTGTTTCTCCAAATCATAACAAAAATAATAAGAATCGATTTTCAATATTTTTGTTTTCAACGAAAACAAAAAAGCTCAACATTTTCTCTCTTTCCTCGTCTTCATCTTCAACCAAAATTCTATATATTTTTTCTCACCTAACAAATCCCAATCAAATGATGTTGATTGATTTAATTTAATTTAATTAATTAATTTGATTAACACGAAAACGAAACATTTATTTTATTTTATGCAAAGAATATATCTATAACTCTTTCACACACTTGTTTTTTGCTTCACACAACATTGATCTCTGTGTTAAAAATTTTTGTTTTTTGTTTTGTTGCTTGTGATGTGCATTTTATTCTCTCTGTTTTCTCTATATATATTTTTATCTCTGAAACGATTCACATTTTTTCAAACAAAACGCACAAAAAATATTTTTTTTTGTTTTTTCTTTGCCAAACATCATTGATGAATGAATGGTGATGATGATGATCGAAATCGCAATACATGTTCATTTTTTCATTCAAAAATTCAAAAATAATAATTTTCACTTGTGTCATATCATCATTATTATTTATGTGAATAACCCAAAACGATAATGAATATCATTGATGAAATAAAAATTTAATTTTTTTTAATTATAAAATCCGATAAGAAAGTTTTTTATTTAAAAAAAAATTTGGATACTTGAAACTTTGAATGTTTTTTGTTTTTCGGGGGAAAATTCATTCATCATCATCATCGTCATTATTATTTGGTTACAGAAAAAAAGTTACTTTTTTAAGATGATGATCATCATCATCGTCATCGGAAGAAAATCAAATTGCTGCAAAAACACCTTCGGGGTATTTTTTTTTTGCTGGCTGTGTGTGTGTGTTGAATTTTTATTTAATTTTTCGTTTGTCGTTTGTAGCGTAGGCGAATCCTCCTCGTATTTGAATGTTTTTTGTTTGACATTTTTTTTTCAATTTCCACCACCACCACCATCATTTAATCTTCATGACTAACATCAGCAAATAGATATGATAATGATTCATTATTATGCATACGACGAATTGCTTCGGTTAATAGTATGGAAATATCGATTGTTTTCATTTTTGGACATTTCATTGATTGAATTTCATGTGGAACTATATTATATAGTGAAAGTGAAAAAGAAAATTGGAAAATCGAAAAATAAAACAATGTAATGGGCACAAAACACAAACGAAAAATAATTTTTCGATAAAATATTTATCAATTCAAAAACAAAAACAAAACAAAAAAAATCTAATCCGATTATAATGATGGTGAAAACATAACGGACAAAAAAATACGCAGGACTTACTTGTATTTGTAACAACAATTTCATCGATAACGGATTCATTCAATTTTTCAGCTGCTTCAGGCGTCAATAAGGCATGTGTACCAACTAGATGAACTTGTCGGGCACCTTCATCTTGTTTCAGAAAATTTGCAGCCCGTATTGGTTGTTCAACATCATCCAAAATATTTTCAATCATTATGGCTAATTTTCCACGAACATCCCCGACTAATTTTAATGGACTACGATAAGAACCGGAAAATGTTGTCAACACTGGTAATATATCACCACCGGGAACGATTTCAATTTCACGTACTGGTGGTGGTGGTGATGATCGGCCATCAATTTCATCAACAGTATCCGCAAGTTTATCATCATCTTGACCATGCAAAATAGCTATATCAACTTTTAAACGTTCAGCATATGCAGTTGCTTTACGTACAGATGATGTATGCATTGCAATAATAACAACATCAGAACGATTTATTTGTTGTTGAAATAATGTTTCACGTATATGTTGAATAAGAAATGGTGATGCACGAAGATTTTCTACAGGTATATCGAAAAATCCTTGAATCTGCAACAACAACGATAGAATTAGAAAATTTTTCGGATAAAATTCTTTCAAACCTCTTTATGTTGTAAATCGACGGTAATGATATGACGAAAACCTGCACGGCAAATCATTTTGGCTAATAATCTTGCCGGTATTGAACCACGTTTACGTTGACGAGCTTGTTTACCATATGGCAGATATGGTATTACACCGACTAAATGTTTTGCAGCTGATGTATGACATGTATAACCCATCAACAATAATTCCATAATAGCATCATTACAATTTGTATCGGTTGCTGTTTGTATTATATAACAATCTTTAAAACGAACTGATGATGTTATTTGCAACATTGTTTCACGATTTCCAGCATGATAAAGATTAACTTCCATACGACGAACATCCAGACGTTGACATATTTCATCCGCTAAATATGGATGTGTATTACCGGCCAATATAACAATTTCACCTAAAGGTGGACCCATTTTTATTTTACTTCAGCAAACAAATTAAGAAAAAAAGTTTTGAATCGCGTTTGGTGAAGAGAAAAGAAAAGTCACCTTGCATCAAACGATGATTGTACTAAATGATGATGATCATCATACGAACGAACGAAAAAAGAAATCATCAAACCAAATATTGCTCGAAGTTATCAAACACAAAAAATAAACAAATATAGAGAAACACACACAGAAGCAATGTTGTTGCTATCATCTAATCATTCAATTCAATTCAATAATTTATCTAATCATTAATTTTGCAAAAATCAAAATTCATTTGATTTTTGATTACATTTCAATGAAATGTGGAAAAATCCATAATGATGATGATAAATTAATCAAATTAGCCATAAACACACACACATAGACTAAACAAACAAACAATGTTTGTTTGTTTGTTTTTCAAATCAAATTAAGAAAAAATTCGAATCGGTAGATATTTCAATAGAAAACATTTTGAATTGGGGAAAAATATTGTTTTTTTATCGGGAAAAAAATTGTAAAAAGTAAATCAAAAAAAAAGATGATTATTAAAAATAATAAAATTACAATCAATTTTCGATTGATAATGATCATATCATTGATTTTACTAATACAATTAATCAAATTGAATGAATGTTTACCGGGAAAAATTGTTAAAAAAGATAATAGTGATGAATATATGGATTATGCACATAAACGAACAAAATTAGATCCAGATACATTATCATTTATGAATGAATATAATCGTAATGTTAAAAAAAATCGTCGTGGTGTTTATATTGATTCATTTGATAAATTACCAATTCATCATCGATCATTAATCGAACAACAACAACAGCGACAATCAAATGGAATTAATATGCGATCAATAGTGCGTAAGTAATATTTTGAATTTGTAATTACAAATTGTAAAAAAAATTCAACCAACCAATTTTTATTAGATGGTTTTACAATAACCGGTATGTTATTAGCATCAATATTTTTTATCGTAATGATGGTAATGGCATCAAAAGAATGTCTACGTACAATTGAAACAACAACTGCTATCATTTGAAAACAAACGAGGGCGGACAATGACGCAAAATTTTCTCTCATTGCTTTCATCTTTTTTTTCAGTTTAAATTTCAATTTTTTTCAATTTAAAATTTGTTTTGTTTTTTGAAAAACGATAATAAATTTTGTTTGTTTGTAAAGAATTTTCTTTCTTTTATTATGTTTTCTTCCAAAACGTTTTGCTTGTTTTCAACAGAATCGAAATTGAATTGTTTTTTTATTAAATTCTGGTTCTAGTTTCATCATTGCTATTGTCATTTGTTTTGTTTGACCAAAACTATTATCATCATCCACTAATTCCATCTCATCATTATTATTATCATAAACATTCTTAGATTTCATCATTTCTGTAATGATGATGGCCTTAGAGAAAGATATAATTGAATTGTAACTTGGGCAAGAAAAAAACAAAATTCTTTCACGTACAAAAACATTCTTATTATTATTATGACATAATCATCATCAAAATGTTGATGGATGGATGGATGGATTATCCAGGAAAAATTGATGCCCAGAAACACATGAATAAAATGTTCATTTTATTCGATCCGTTTTTGGTAAAACAAAAAACGAAAGCCGAAAAGTGTTTCCACAGCGACCAGTTTTGAAAAAAGTGTAAAGAAAAATCCGCTTTTAACACATCTTTAGGACAACAAAAAAGAATTTCAGTGAAATTCTTTGCGTTTTTCTTCATTGTAATTCAAATGAAGATTTTATTTGTTCAGGCAAAATTTCAAGACAAAATAATAATAATTTCTTTTTTCACTAAATTGTTGTATTGTTGTTAGTCAAATGAATGAAAATGGAAATGATATTGAGAAAGTTTCGCTGTTGTTGTTGTTTGGGTAACTTGTTTTAACATTTTTTTTCTTTCTTTTCCCTTAATCAAATAATAAAAAAATTATTAAGTACATTTTGTTGTTGTTGTTGTTTTTGATAACAACAACAAGCAAATAATGAATTTAGAATTTTTCCATTGAAAAATTTGAATTTAATCAATCCAAAATTCCCCGTTGTTTGGTGTTCATTCGTTCAAACATTTTTAATTTCAAAAAAAAAAATCATTTTGATTTCATTGAATAAATTTCAAAATGAAAATTTTTCAAATTTTATTCAAAATCTTTATTATCATTGACATCGTTGTTGTTGTTGTTGTCGATTCATCAATATTTGGTTTTAGAAATAATAATAATAAAAATTTTTTTGGTAAACATAAAGAAACTGTATATAATTTAAAACGATTAGAAACAAAAGAAAATATAACATTAGAAGAAGATAAATTATTACCACCATCATCTGATAATGATTTTCCGATACAAGAATCATCCAAATCAAGAGGAAAACATAATAAACAATTTAATTTCAAACCACCAATTCAAAATCAACAACCATATTATGATACACCATATAAATTATTTTGTAAGTAATTTTGTTGTTTGATGTTTCAACTCTTTGATTTTCCTTTTTTTAAAAATTTCTTTCATCATTTTTTTTCATTCAAGACATACTGATCGGTATAAGTGTTTCAGCATTTTTTTTCGTTATATATTATTTAAATATGAAAGATTTACAATTACGAACATCACCATCATTACGAATTCGTATGATGATGACAAAATCATTATTAAGTTCTTTGGATGATGATGATGATGATCGACAAAAAAGTTTAAGTACAAGACAACAACAATCATTTTCATTACAACAAAAATCTGATTCATTTTAAAACATTGAATTGAAAAAAAGTGAAATTTTTATTTTTAAAATTAAAATGAAAATTTTTTTGGTTTGATTTGAATCACATTTCAAAAATTCTTTAAAGTTTTTTCCATTTGTTTTGTTCTTGAAATGAGGAGCAAATCGAAAAAGGTAAAACTTTTTCATCGATTCCACCCAATATATGTGTGTGGTCAAAAGAAAAACATTTGGTTTTCAATGAAAAAAAGTTTTTAATGACGTTTTTTTCAATTTTCTTCAATGTAAAAAAAATTGGTCACACAAAAAATGAATTGAATTTTTCATTATTTTTCAGACTGATTTTTTCTTGATTTATTTCATTGAAAAAAATGGAATTGGATTTGAATGAAATGATTGATGATGATGTTCAATGGATGTTTGGTTATTTCGTTTCATTTCATTTAGGATATGAAGGTATCATCAGGCATGGAAAAAAAGGTGTCAAGATTTTTCATGTGTGAAAAAATACGGATTTTTTTTGCTGAAAAAAATGAAAACTTTGAACATGAAAATATTATTTTCCATTTTTTTTTTCTTATACTTTCTCAATAACATTGATTGAAGAAAAAAAAAGATTGAAAATGGTGATTACCCGGTTTGGAATAATATTCGTTTTTGCTATTCTGGGATGTTTGAAAATGAAATTGACAACGACGAAAAATGATTGATCGATCATCATCATTGATCGATCGCTATTGGAATCATTTTTTTTTTAAATTTGACTTTGCGACATACAGGATAACCCTGATACTATATAACGGCTTTTTATAAAAACAAAAAAAAAACGAAAATCATTTTTATTCATTTATTTTGATTACAAAACACGAAAAAAAACATCAAATTTTCAAAGAAAATGAATTCATTATTATTATTATTATTATTAATACAAAGAAAAAAAATATTTTATATTTTTGGAAATTAGATGAATGCAAATATAATCTTTGTTTGTGTTTTGTTTTGTTGAGAGAAAAAAAAATCATTATCAAAAGCAATGTGTAAAAAAAAGAAATTGAGAAAATCATCATCATGATCGAACATTAATGGTGGCAGCAGCAGTTGTTTTTAATTCAAATAATTTATTTGTATTTGAACGTAATTCCAGTAGAGAATAATCTTGTGGTACTGAAGTATGATAGGCATACATTCCTCGATTTAATTCGGCATGAATAATATTGGCCACTCTAGCCATTTGACTTTGACATAAAACATGACGATTTGTTGGTGTACGAAGTTGATGAACATTAAAATTTTCAATCAATTTACGATAATGTTGTAGATGAGAATCATCATCATCGCCATCTTCATTATCATTTGATTGTCCAAAACAAAGTAGCTGAATAAATATATCATAAATACCGGCACCATTTATATTCCAATTCGGTATTAAATGTTGATATGGATGTAATTTACCAATTAATAAACGAATTTCTTTATAATCTTCATTGATAACTAATTCAGGAAAAATTCTATCAACAAATACATCATGTGATTGTTTATATTGACCAATCAACAAAAGATTCGTTGCTATATGATGATAATATCTTTTAGTACGTGACCAATACAGTTTAGCTTCGGATAATAAACATGAATCGATATAATATTTTTCCCGTAATGATTGTTCCAAATCTGGATCATCCATCAATTGTTTAGCATTTCTTATTAATAATTCTTTTACATAAAATGTTCGAAGATAATCATCACGAATATGAAGAGCAAAAAATAATGACCAATACAATTGTGGACATTGTGAAGCCATAAAAATATTAATAGAATCACATTTATTTGTTGAAATATCTTCAACAATTACATTATAACTTTGTAGTTGTTCTTGTAAAAGCCATGAATCAAGATAATTATCGGCCGATGTTATAGCTAACCATGGTTGATGTTGTGCAAGCATATGATATTCAACATTATTTGGATGAATGGTTAATTCTTGAATGGCTTGACGAACTAGATTCGTACCAATCATTTCCACGCCTTGATGTGATTTATACAATAACAATAATGTTAATTGTTGTGTCCATTCAATCCCATCTAATGTATCAATTATTTGACCATTACTTGTTGTCCATGATGATAATCCACTTAAAATACAATAAATTTTTAATAATTTTTTTTCAATAAATTGATCCGATTCAGATCTTTTCCAAAGATCCAATTGTGCCATAATCAATTCTTTTCGACAATTTGGTCCACATGAAATAAGATACGATAAACGTGGTAATTTTGAATTAATACATTCGGTAACGGCAAATTCCAATTCATTTGTAGTCAAAAAATGAACAATACGATCATATGAATTTTTCGGAACAGGTAATGTTTTATTATAATTATATAACCATTTCAATATACGTCGTAAACGTTCTTGATGTCGTGCATAATCCGTTGTTTCACTTAATTCACCATATAATGCTTCAATCAATAAATTTAAATTTGAATCAATCATTGAATTTAAACTATAAGCATTTGTACGAATTAATGGTGGTATTTTGAATTTTTGTTCTTCAAAATGTTGTTGTTGTTGCATTTGTTGATCATCAATAATTTCAACAGTAGAATGTGAATCAAATTGTAATTCCAATTTTTCAATCGATTCGGATTGTGTTTGATGATTATCATCATTCAATCCAAGAAGATCCAAATTAAAAATCAAAACATCATTACCAACAATCAATGAAAATTTATTCGATCCATTAGCAAAACGTACTTTTGGATATTCACTATTCCAAATTGAATATGCATTTGATTTTTGTTGTGGACAACATTGTTGTTGTTGTTGTTGAAATAATAATCGTCGTTTTTTCGGTATGGTTGCTTTAAGAAAACGGGCTGGAAATAGCGATGATGATAAACTTGTGCCCGGTATTACTTGACTGGCAGTTGTTACTGATGATAATTTTGTAAATGATAAATTTTTACATTTTTTCGACATTGTTTCAATTTCATCATTATCATCATTTTCATGTTCAACAAACAATGCTGAACGCATTAAATTATATTCATCATTTTTTTGACAATCATCATCAAACAATAAACCACCATAATGTTTTGTTTGATTATTATGATCAAATGACAATGGTGAATCATATCTTGGACTGATGATATTATTATTATCATTCACCATTTGATCATGATCTAATTCATTCGAATGATAACCATTTAGATGGGCATTTAATTTTTCGCCATTCATATCATAGGTTTGTTTAACCAAAGTTTGTTGTGATTGTTGTTTAGCATTTGGATCAGTTAATTTTTGTTGATCTGCTTTTGCTGCTGCAAAAAAATAAAATGAAATGAGAAAAATCAAAGTGAAACATTCAATACACGTACCTTTTGAGACAGGTTCATCACCATTATCATCATCTTCATCAGCATCCAGACCATATTTACTGAAATGTTTAACATGAAAAACCCATGATCCAGTATCAGGACGATATTCTTTAAATGTTGCACCTAATTTTATTGTAACTTTTTCTAAACGTTCCGGATATTTCATTGAACGTAAACGTTCAGGATCTTGAATAAATTCTCTTGTAGTTTTATCAATTGGCCAAACTTGATCTAATGTTATTTGTGCTGGACGATTTAATCCTTCACCTTCAGGTGGTTTCAAATCATCATCTGGATAAACAATAACTTCTTTTCGTCGAATATGAACAATTTCATCCAAATTAATTCCTTTAATATTTAATGGTCCAGGCCAATAAATTGAACCATAATCTAATCGACCAACTGTAAATGATTCAACCACACAACTATCATCATCTGAATTATAATATTGATCACATTCATCTAATGATGGAATTGTATAATAATCAGTACGTGTTAGAATAACACCACATTTTGGTATAACATAATTGGCCATCGATGATTTTTGATTGATTGGTGATCTTTCATCGCCACCCATCATCATCGTTGCCGATGAAAAATTTAATCGTCGATAAAGATTTGAAAATGAATTTTCCGGCGATGATATTGATGAATTATCTAGACTTTTTCTTGTTGTATTATGATGATTTTCTTTAGTAGAAGATGAAGAAGCAGCAATCGTTTGTTTCCCATTCAATAGATCAATAGTTGTATTATTGATTGGTGATATATCTTTATCATTGAAAGCTACTATTGTTGATGATGAAGAATTTCGTGGTGATTGATTTTTTTCTTGATCAAAAGATGAATCGGATACATTATTATTATTATTTTGAGATGATTGTGGTTGTTTGGTCAATGTTGAAGTTTTAAAAATTGTTGCCGAATATTGTTGGTTATTAGTAGTATTATTCGAGCCTGTTGAAGATGATTTATTCAAAACCAATTTCTTAATATTTTGCCGTGGTTTAAAAATATCTGATGCAGTTTTTAAATTATCTGGACTTTCATCATCAAGTCCATCAAACAGCAATGTTGTTGGTTTGCCCGATACTGGAATACGTTGAATTTTATTCACTTCATTCGATGATTTTGCATTCAATTTATATTGATTTAATGTTTTCGGATCGGTTGTAAATTTTGTTTTCGAATTACTAGCGAATGAATTATCCGATAAAATTGGTGGTAATGTACCGTATGGCATTGTTTTTAAACGTGTCATTATTTGTTCTTGATTGATTGAACATTGAGCATTTGAATTATTATTAGCAACATTATTGCCTGTTGTCGCAGTTCCAAAATTATTCATTTGTTGCATACCGGAAGACTGATTCAGTGGATTACCGAAAAAACTTCCAGTTGTCGTTGAAAGGCCACCGCCACCAAGATTCTGTCCAAATGTATTGGTCGTGAGACCACCACCTGTACCAGAACCAAATGCAAATGCTGAACCAGTTGATGTTGTTCCACCACCCATATTAAAACCAGTATTTGTATTACTACCAAATGGTTGAGTACCAGTTTGACCAACATTACCAAATGAACTGAAATTACTTGTTCCACCAAGTGTATTCGAACCGAATAATGATCCGGAACTAGTACCAGTACCAAAAGCATTAACAGCCGTAGATCCAGTATTACCAAACAATGAAGTTGTATTCGATGTTGGATTAAATGTTGAAGTTTGATTCAATGATGTTTGTGTGGCTGGAAATGAAAATGCGCCCGTTTTACCTAATGTTGATTGATTTGAATTAAATAATGATGGTTGTGAAACGCTTGAACCAAAAATTCCACCACCAGTTTGACCTGTAGTCGTATTTGTAGCACCAAAAAGACTAGTGCCAGTTTGTTGTTGTTGGGGTTGTGTTTGACCAAATGGCTGTAAACTACTATTACCAAACATTGGTTTGTTTGCTGATAAAGTATTTTGACCACCAAAAATCGAACTAGTTGTACCAGTATTACCAAACAATGATGATGATTGTTGATTTGCGCCTAATGTTGTATTAGTTTGACCAAATGAAAATGGTTGAGTTGTTGTCGAACCACCAGGCTGTTGTTGTCCGAAAAAACTTAACGAAGATTTATTATCATTAGTTTGACCAAAAGCAGGTTGTGTTGTATTTTGACCAAATAATCCAGTTGTACCGCCGGTTGATAAACCAGAATTAAATATTGATGTTGTTGATGCTGTAGTTGGTGCAATTGAACCAAATGGTTTTTGTTGATTACCAAATAAACCACCACTACCAGTTGATGTTTGTCCAAATGCATTTGGTTGTGAACTAACTAAACCTCCGGTACCAAATGCAGAAGTTCCAGTTGGATTACCAATTCCAGATGATCCAAATAATCCAGTTGTTTGCTGTTGCTGTTGTTGTGGTCCTTTACGACCAACTAAATAATCTTCTAAACGTAATTCTTCCAATGATTTTGTTTCATATTCACGCATACAAGTAATACATTGTAAACGTATATTAATACTTGTACTTTGTGTTTGACCATTTTTAACCATAGTATCTGTTGATGTTTGTGGTTGGAATTTAATTGTAGTACCTGTTGCTGCTGCTGTCATTGTTCCACCTAATCCGGTATTTTGACCGAATGTAGTTGTCGTTCCAAAACGATTAGCATTGGCAAATAATGAATTTTGTGTTTGGCCAGTTTGTTGATTAGTTGATGCTGTATTGCCGAATAAAGATGTTCCACCACCAAAAGCTGATTGTGTACCAAATGTATTGGTTTGTTGTTGTTGCGGCTGTTGTCCACCAAACAATGTACCAGCATTTGGCTGTTGCAAACCAGTATTACCAAATAATTGTGTTTGTTGTTGTTGTTGACCAGTTTGTCCAAATAATGTTGATTGTGGTTGACCAGTATTACCAATACTGCCAAACGGTGTAACCGTTGTATTGAATGCTAAAAATCAGAAGGAAAAAAAATTTTTTTTTAATAATTTTCAATCAATCGATAATGAGTATGATTTACCTGAAGGTTGACCGAATGTACCTGTAGAAGTACTTTGGCCAAACATTTTTGTTTTTTTGATTCGTATCAATCAATCAAAATGGAATGAAAATGAAATGAATATAAAAAGAGTAGAAATCACGGTGACGATCAAATAATAAAAAAATCAAAAAGTTTGATGCAACAACAATAAAATTATAATGGGAATGGATCACAATTCGAACCAAAAGTCAAAACAGAAATGAATCCAAAATTTATCAACAACAATAATAATATCGTTGTTGATGGTTGTAAATGAAAATATTGGCATGTGAAAAATTTTTCTTTTCTTTCATCCAAAAACACCCTGAACATTCGCAAACACACAGCAAAAATGCGTTGTAAACAATACAATGCTCAAAATAATGAAATTTTCGCTAGAGGGCATTCGATTCAACATGGTTATTTGTTTTTTCACGGAAAGTTTTTTTTCGCTTTCCAGATATTCGATTCCGAAAAACTTTTTTTTTTATTACCAAAAATTACCGATTTTTTTTCTTGATTCAAAAAAATTACAACATAATATATTTAATGAAAATCCATTATTAATGGTGGAAGAATTTTTCCACGACATTCACCAAATCCGATACGATAACCATCACCTTGACAATAACCTTCAATTATAATTGAATCATTATCTTGTAAAAATGAACGTGTTATAACACCATCAGTACCAAGATTTAATGGTTTATTTCCTTTCCATGATAATTCTAACATTGAACCATATGAATCTGGTGTTGGACCACTTATAGTACCGGTTGCTAAAAGATCACCCGATCGAATCTAAGAGAAAAATATCAATTACAACATGATAAAATAAAGGATGATCAACATACATTACAACCGGTAATGGAATGATGAGCCAATTGTTGTTTAATAGTCCAATAAAGATAACGATAATTTGATTTACAAATTAGATTTCGATCCATACCATCAGGTTTAAGAAAAACATTCAAATTAATATCGAAATTATAATCATCAGAATGATGAAGATAATCAAATGGTTTAGGATTTTGTTGAGTATTAGCAACACGAAATGGTTGCAGTGCTTCCATTGTCACAACCCAAGCGCTTATCGATGTACCCAATGATTTTGCCAAAAATGGTCCCAATGGAACATATTCCCATTTTTGTATATCACGTGCACTCCAATCGTTCATTAAAACCATTCCGAAAATACGATCTTCAGTTTTTTCAATTGGTATTGGTTTTCCGAGGGGATTTTCTGGACCACCAATCAAAAAAGCCATTTCCAATTCAAAATCCATCAAACGACATGGACCAAATTTCGGTGGTTCATCATCGGCCGGTCTTGTTTGACCATTTGGTCGTCGAATTGGTGTACCCGAAATAACTACTGATGATGCACGACCATGATAACCAACAGGCATATAACGCCAATTTGGTAATAAAGCATTTTTTGGATCACGAAACATACAACCAACATTGGTTGCATGTTCTAATGATGAATAAAAATCTGTATAATCACCAATTTTTGCTGGAAGATGCATTGTGGCCATTGATTGTGGAATAAATGCTAATTTACGAAGTTCACTATCATCACGTAAAGTTGGTGTATTTTTATCCAATAAATTTAATAATGTTTTTCTTGCTTCATGCCATGCATTATGGCCTAATTCCAAAAATTTATTCAATGTTGATTCTTGAAATACTTTGGCTGCAACATTTTTAAGATGTTCACCTTGAAATAGATGAACAATTTTACTTAGATCCAAAATTTGATCACCAATTGCAACACCAATTCGATGTTTAGGCTGTTAAGACAAAAACAAAAAAATGGAAAATTAATTAAATCAAAAATCGAATAATAATCCTCACATCAGATTCAGTGGAAAATACTCCATAAGGTAGATTTTGTATCGGAAATTGATGATTTACTGGAACTTCGATAAAAGACATGATTGATTCAAATGAAAGTTTGAAAATGATTAAATCAACGAAAAAAGAAATGATAAAAAAGGATGTTTTAAAAAAAATCAGTGATGTTGTTGAGCAAATTCAAAAACGAAAAAAATGTTTCTTTTTTTCTTCATTCATTTAGAAAGAAAAAATATGATATGCGTCCAAGGACATCAGATATGAATGTAGCAAACGACGAAGAGACTGCTTTCTTTCAGCAAAAAAACTGGTTTCAATTTGAATTTGATGGAATCTAACCGCATCTTCAAACAGAAAAACAGTATTTGATAATAATTATTCAGGGGATGCCCATTTCTTTGTTTTCAAGGATAAATTCCTTTTTGGAATTAATGAAAAACAAATTTTCAAAAAAAAAATCAAGATTTGTTATCGAATATATTTTCGAACATTTTTTATTCGAAATGATCAATTTTCTATTTAAACACAAAACGTATCATTGATGTATGATTTGCCCAAATAGCCACCCAAACACACACACACACACATGCATATGTTGCATCAAGTTGCATTACGTGTATTCGATTTGAACCAAAAAGAAAAATATTTTGGGTAAAAAAAATGTTGGTACCCGATTCCCCAGCAATAAGATTGTATTGATTTAATTCTTGTTTTTTTTCATTGAAACAACCAAAACAGGGAACAACAAGAACAGCAACAAGGTGAACAAAAATTATCGAAAAATGCATTGAAAAAAGCGAAAAAAGATGCCGAAAAAGCTGCGAAAAAAGCCGAAGCAGCACAAAAACGTGCCGAAACACAACAACAACAACAATCAGATGCTAATGTTGAAGATTATGCAAAAGATAATTATGGTCAATCGCCAATGATACGGTCGACGGAAAAAAATTTGGATCGTAAATTCACCAATGTTGATATGATTGATGAATCGCTAGCTGATCAAACAATATGGATTCGTGGACGTCTTCATACTAGTCGTGCTGTTGGTAAACAATGTTTTTTTATTATTCGTCAACAACAATCAACATTACAATGTTTATTATCGGTTAATGAACATTCAAGTAAACAGATGGTTAAATTTGTTGGATCGATTACAAAAGAATCAATAATTGATGTTTTTGGTTTGATTAAAATATCACCAACAAAAATTGAAAGTTGTTCACAACAAATGGTTGAATGTTCAGTACAGAAAATCTTTGTTGTTAGTGCTGCTGAACCAATGTTGCCATTATTAATTGATGATGCATCACGTCCTGAACATGAATTAGTTGATGGCTTGTCGACTGTCAACCAGGATGTTCGCCTGGATAATCGTGTATTGGATCTTCGTACCGCAACAAATCAAGCAATATTTAAACTTGAAGCCGGTGTTGTTCATATTTATCGTCGTTCATTGGAAAAACGTGGTTTTGTTGAAATTCATACACCGAAAATTATATCGGCTGCAAGTGAAGGTGGTGCAAATGTATTTGAAGTTAGTTATTTTAAAGGTTCTGCATATTTGGCACAATCACCACAATTTTATAAACAAATGGCTATCGCTGCTGATTTTGATCGTGTATTCACTATTGGTTCTGTATTTCGTGCTGAAGATTCAAATACACATCGTCATCTTTGTGAATTTGTTGGTTTGGATTTTGAAATGGCATTCAAATATCATTATCATGAAGTTTTGGATATGATTGGTGAATTATTTGTCGAACTGTTTAAAGGATTACAACAAGAATATCAGAAAGAAATTCAAACAATAAATCGACAATTTCCATGTGAACCATTTAAATTTCTTGAACCATCATTACGTATTAATTTTGCTGAAGGTGTTCGTCTTTTACGTGAAAATGGTATCGAAATGAGCGATGAAGAAGATCTTAGTACTGCCAATGAAAAATTATTGGGCAAAATTATTCGTGAAAAATATGATACTGATTTTTATATTTTGGATAAATTTCCATTAGCTATTCGTCCATTTTATACGATGCCTGATCCGGATAATTCGGTAATTTTTTTCCAAAAAACTTTTTCTATTCCCTTTTTTTAACCCTTTAATCATAGAAATATTCCAATTCTTATGATTTATTTATGAGAGGTGAAGAAATTATGTCCGGTGCACAACGTATACATGATTCAGAATTTCTGCTTGAACGTATCAAACATCATGGAATTGGTAAGTATCGTTTGTTATTCGTAAAGTTAATTGAAAAATTGATTTGATTTGATTCAATTTAGATCCAAACAAAATGAAATCCTATATTGATTCATTTCGTTATGGTGCACCACCACATGCAGGTGGTGGTATTGGTCTGGAACGTGTTACAATGTTATTTTTAGGTTTGAATAATATTCGTAAAACATCATTGTTTCCACGTGATCCGAAACGTGTTTCGCCTTGAAGCAGCTGAAGATGAAGAAAAAAAAATCCATAAACAGCATCAAACATTTGAAAAATTGATTTGATTTTTGATTTTTTTTTTCATACAAAATCAATTGATAAATAAAAATTGATAATTTTGATAACGATGTTTAAGTTCATTTCGAGTCATGTTTTTGTTTTTTGTTTTGGTCTAATTCAGTGTTAATTAAAAACAAAATATTTTGATGATGATTGCAATGATGAAAATTTTATCATCATTTTTTTTGTTAATGATGACCATCATTATAATGATGCAACAATCATCATCATTAATCGAATGTTATACATTTGAATGTCAATCATTATCATCATCGACGTCGTCACAAGATTCCCAGGAAAATAATAACATTGATGATAATTATCATCAACAACAACAATCAACATTATCATCATGTCAATTGTTTTGTCCAAATATTCAATTTAAAGGTCCTTGTCGATGTTCAGTGCTTGGATCATCACCATCAACATTGATGAAATCAGATGATCAACAACAACAACAACAAAATATTGATATACGTTTGGAATGTCGACAAACAAATGCAAGTATTTTAATGACTGATATTGAAAATTTACAACGTTGTACACGAAATTCTACAATTATAAACCTGATGGAACTATCGGTTAAAGATTCAAATCTAACACATCTTTATAATCTACCAAGCGGGCTGTATAATGTACAGAAAATGTTTCTTGATAATACTGGTATTGATTTGGAAACATTACGTGAAAGTCATGAATTACTTAAATCACTTCGTGTTTTACGTATTAGTAATGAAAATTATACTGAAATTCAACGAAATCTTTTTAATGGAATGGAAGAGCTAAAAGAATTATCATTTAATCAACTTGGTATGGCTTATATTAATGTTGAAGCATTTGTATCATTACAAGATTCATTAACCTTATTGGAATTACGTTCGAATAAAATTCGTACAGTACCAACTGCTGTACAAAGTTTATCACATTTAGAATGTTTAGACCTGAGTGATAATGATATTAAATCAGTTACAGATGGTAATACTGGGATATTTAGTTCAGGGTTAAGACGTTTAAAACGTTTAGGAATTAATAGTAAGTTGTCATTGGAAAAATCCTTATCTTTTTTATTAATTTTTCCAATTTAACACTTCCACAGCAATGAATTGTTCATGTGAATTTGGCCAAAGTAAATTTGCAACATGGTTACGAACACATGGTATTAAAGGTGTTCGGTGTTCGATGCCCGAAAGATTTCGTGGTAAAGATGTTTCGAATACAGCTATTGATGAATTTTGTGAATCATGGCCAAGTAATTCTTGCTATAGCAGTGTTTTCAAATTCAATTTCTGTTCAACAACAATAATTATTCTAATTTTGATTACATTAACATTGTTTGATTGGTGAATAAAAATGAAAATTATGAATATGATTTCGGAAAAATTTTCTTTTTTAAAGTTTTTTGCTAAATTAATTGATTGATTGAAATGGTTATTGTAAAAATAAAACGACCAAAAGCAATTTTATTTGATATATCTGGAACTGTTGCACGTGAATCATTTGTTGAAAAAATTTTACAACCATATTTTAAAATTGCTTTCCAGGTTTATATGGATAATTCATGGCTAAAAGATGAATGGCAAGATTGTTTAAGGAAATTGGCTGCAACTGCTGAACGTGATATGCAAGCACCAAAAATTGATTTAATAAAAGAAAAATCCGAAGTAATCAAAGAAGCAATAAAATATATTGAATATTGTTTGGAAAATAATCATGAACCAAAAGCATTTGTTTTATTTCGATTTCTAGTTTGGTTTGATGGTTATGATCGAAACAAAATCAAAACACCGGTTTATTCTGATGTAGCCGTAACGATGCAAAAATGGAAAAATAGCCAGAATATTCGTCTTTATGTATTATCGAATGGTTGGAAAGAGGCAAGTAAAAAATTCATGTCCGATACATCACACGGTGATTTGAATCTAATTATTGATCAACATTTTGATAATTCAATGGGTTCGTTAGAAAATCCAGAAACATTTGTAAAAGTTGCTGATGCAATACAGGAAAAACCTAGTGATGATTTATTATTTTTAACAAAATCACCATTGGAAGGTAAAGCAGCACAAATGGCTGGTTTTAATGTTGTTCTCGTATTAACTCGAACACGTAGTGTTGATGAAGCAATGGAAATTTGTCAAGATATACCTATTGCTAGATCATTTACTGATATTGAATTTTTGTGAGCAAAACTCACATATGACAAAATCAAATGATAATTTTTTTTATATTTAAAAAAATAAACCAACCAAACAAACCAAAAAGAAAACATTCTTCCACATAAATTCTTTCTGTCTGAGGTTTTTGGTTTTTCTCCTTCAACCAAAAATGATTGATGATCACCAATAAAAAATAGTCTGGGTCGTTTTTTGAAACAAACAAAAAGATTTATCAAATTATGAATTGAAACGGAAGAAATAAAAATCACAGAATAAAATAGAATCATAGAATATAGAATCATCACACAGGGCCATTTCAATACAATGACCTTTGAATGAATGAATTGTGTGTATGATTGTAATGGCAATAGGAATCTATATAGAGAATGAATGAAAAAAAGTTTTGCTATTGCCTGGTTGAAGATATCATTTTGTTTTTTTATTTTGGTAAAGAAAGATTATTAATTGAATGTGGATAGGAAAGGGTTATTAATTAATAATAAAAATGGGTGATATGACTTTATTTAATAAATAAAACGATGATGGTTGTCAACCATATAGAGATAAAGATATCTAAAAAAAAGTATAAAGTTAAGCTAATCACTGATGATGAGATTCATCATCATTTTGCCTTAAAAACTTTTTTCGAGAATCAATATTTTTTTTTGGGAGAAGCGAAATGTTTGTTGTTTGAAAATTGTTATTTTCTAACAACGACAAGAATATTGCTTGCTGGCTTGTCATGTAAAAAATGTGATGGAGCAAACAACAATATCATAGAATAGAGACTTTTCAAGTATAGAATCCAACAAAAACCAAAATGAAAAACCAAAATAAAAAACCAAAATGAAAAACCAAGCCATTTTTCATCGATCAAAATGAAAAAGAAATATTACCGATGTCTGTGTTGAACAAACAAACAGAAAAAAAGAACGATCCCAAAAAAATGTTTGGATTCAGATTTCAAAAAGTCGGGAATGTTTGAAAGCATCATCTTTTTCATTTTGTTTTGTTGAAAAAAAAATCAAATTTTGATTGGCGCGACAAAAAAAAATTCGGTCTTTTTTCTTTCAACTTTTTTGTCGGGTTTTGTTTTTACAAAACTTTTCGATTTCAATCTTTTTTTTTCTCTATTTTCAACAACAAGAAAAAAACTTTTCATATTTGAAAAAAAAGAGATGAAAGGATTAAATTTCATAAAGTTTTTTTCAATTCATTACGAAAGAAAAAAAATGATCCATCAGATTTTTATATTCCGAGGAATTTGGAAACATCTCGATTGAAAATTTTTAAATTTTCAAAAAAAATTCAAAAAATTGTTTTTAACTATGACTATGACTTGTACGAATCATCAACCTAACCTCACTCAACTATGAATCACGTTCATAGTCATAGTCATCAACCTAACCTCACTCAACTATGAATCACAGGCATAGTCATAGTCATCAACCTAACCTCACTGAACTATGAATCACTATGACTTATTAATATTTTTGCTTGCACTTTAAAAATTGATCAAATTTTCCTTCAAAGCCAAATTTAAGGAAATTCAATTTTTTATAAGGCAAACAAATAACATCCTAACATATTTCTCTACTTTTGTTTTCATTATCTAAATATATAGAATCTAAAACCAAACCAAACTTTTGTTCTCGCTTCAACAAACATAAAGAGCATTATTTTTTCTTTGAAAAAAAAACAACAAAACAAAACTAAAAACCAACCAGCCATTCAACCAACAATAAAATTAGCCGCCAGATGTAAAAAAAATATTCATGCCCAATATGCATTTGGAAATATAAGCAAGTTTTATGTGATTGAGAAAAGATATAGAGAAGATAAATTCGCAGAAACTCACTCTTTCTTTCTATAGAAATAGAGATAATGTCATCATCATAAATGCTCACAAAGTTGACCGAAAATATACAATATTTTTCATTTTAAATGTTCAATGTTAAATGTTAAATGAAAAATGAATTGAAATGAAATGAGAAATTCACTTCTTTTGATTCACTATCTCCTTATAGAATCGCTATCATCCACCACAACACACACAATTCTTTATTCACTCTTTTTTCCCATCTATCTATCTATTTATTCTGATTTTGATTCCCTATTCTATAAAAATTCAAACCAAACACAACAACAAAAAAAAACCATAACCATATTCATTCATTCATAACAATTGCGGGGAAATGATGATATAGTAATAGTAGTAAGATTGTAAAATGTGTGGATGAACCATTTATATATAGAGGGAGAGAGAAAGAGAGATTACAATCTTATGTCATTTTCTTTGTTCTATATCTTGATAATAGTAATTTTCATTAACTTTCAATGTTTTTTTGTTTTGTTTTTTGATTAATCACAAAAATCAATTGGGTTAAATTATAATCACAAAAAAAAGAAAGAAACTATCGATATAAATAATTATTACTCAATGAATCTCTAATCTAATGATCATAATCATCATTATTAATTGGTTTACCGGATATTGGGTTGAATGTTAAGAAAAAAAAACAATGACTATTAGTCAGTTTATATGGTTGTTTTGGTTAGGAGATAGAAATATGTAACACTTACAAGAAATGAATCGAATCGATTCCAAACACACACACACGGAGAACCAAGACAAATTATTATATAGAATCGGGAAAAAAATGATGATGATGAAGAATGAGCATCTCGGAGCAGAGCAGTGCAGAGCAGCAGGCCAAACTGATGATGATGATAATGATGGGAACATTGGCACCAACAAACAAGCAAAATATAGAAGATTCTCAGTTTTTTTTTCAGTTCACTTTAGCGGATCACACACACATATAACTATGGCACACTAACACAGACCCAAAAAAATCGAAACGATCGAAAGATTTGTCCATTATGTCATATAGATGAAACAAAACGAAAAAAAAGTTGAGTCTGGTTCAATGAGTTTTTCTTCTTCTTCTTCTTCTGGTTCATCTTCAAAACATTTTTTTTTTTCGTTGTTCTAGTTGTTTGTTTGTCGATTCTTCTTCTTGGCTTTTTTTTCGTGGTGATGAAAAAGTTGTGACTGTTGTTTTGTATATATTTCTGGTCCATTAAAAGAAATGCCCGTTTGTTTGTTTGTTCGTTGAAATGAAAGATGTTGGTATGTGTGTGTGTGTGGTGTGATAATGATGAATTTGTTTTTCGTTTTGATTTTTTTGGGAGTAAAACACACACACACAAACCATTGAAAGATATCGAATAACCAGCCAGCAAACAAAAAATGAGTGAAAGAAATTCTTTTTTTTTGGATTGAGAAAATAAACCATAATCCATTATGATGGATGGATAGAAAGATTTTGAATGTCAGCCACCAAACATTGAACATCGAACAATCTTTGTGTTTCTTTGAAAGTTACCATTCTTTCATTTTTAGATTGAAAATGATAATCATTTAGACTTTTTGGAATCAACATTTGATTGAAAACAACAACAACAACAACAACAAGAAAAAATTGCTCAAAAACAAAACATCGATCGAAAATTTCTTCATCCGGTTGTCCCGAAAAAAAAACAAACAAACAAAATCAAAACATTCGAATCTATTTCGACACGAATGTATATCATTACCATACTACCGATTTTAACCAAACATTCGATCATGAAGCTCAAATAATAATTCTTGCTGAATTCAATCAACAAATTTTTTTTTCTTTCGATAAGTTTATCGAGTGACCAGTGAGTGACCAGTGAATGATTGTAAATTAATGATGAAGATTATTTCATCGTTCGATAATCAAAATGATAATGATGATGGTCAAGAAAACCAACAACAACAACAACGAAGAACGAATAATCATCAAAGATCATCATCATCATCATCATCTTCATTAATTTATCGAATATTCATTATACAATCAATTTTATTATCAACAATATTATTATTTTCTTATTGTGATGCTGCTTATTCAATCAAATCATTCAACAACAACAACAACAAACAAATATTATCACCGAAAGCAAAACAATTCATCAACAATGATGATCAAAATCGAACAATCGTTATCGATAATCAATTATTACGTCAAAAACGTGATGGTAAGTTTGTTTTTGAAAATCAGTTCATTGTTAGCAATGTTTTTTTTTTGTTGTTGTTTGTTGTTTTGGTTTTTGGAGAAACAGAAGAACCGGCACCAATTTATGGAAAAGGAATTGCATTCTGGTTGGGTGAACATTGTGAAACTACTTGTAATCGTATATTATTTCATGTTTGGTGTAATAGTAGTACACATCGTTGTGAATGTTTACCTGAATATCCGGTTAATGTTGATAATAAATATTGTTTAAAAGGTTTGTAAATGGAATTCCATTTCTGATTTAATAAAATCTAATCTTTTTTGATATTTAGCTCTACAAATAAATGATCGTTGTGAATATAATGAAGCATGTCGATATTTGAATCCAAATTCATTTTGTAATGAACAAGGATTTTGTAAATGTATGGATGGTTTTTTTGTTAAATATGATGATGAAAAAGAAAGTCGTGTTTGTATGGCCTGTAAGTATACCAAAACATTTTCAATTTTTTGTTTCCAAAATTTCTCATCCAAATTGAATCGATTTTTTCCTAATAGATGATTCACCATTTTTCATTCGTATTGGTTCGACAACATTTGATTTTATTAATAAAATTGAATTTATTACATTATTCAGCCTTATCATAAGCTTTATATTAATACTAATTCTATCAATGATGGTTATTAAATTAATGCAAAAGTAAGTTTTGAATGAATCAATGAAAATATCATAATGATGATGTTTTTTTTTATAATTAAAACAGGAACAAAAAACTAGCCAAAAATGATCAACCATCATTTTGTGATATGATACCACCGCCACCTCCAGTTATATTGAATGCCCAACCTGATCATTATAACAATCAACAACAACAACATCGTTTATCAAGTCATCATCCATTTCATCATCATCATCATCATAGAACATCAGCATCATTACAATCAACACCATCACGTAGTCCATATCATCATCATCATCAGGATTATAGCCTACAACGACAACAACAGGAAAAACAACAACCATTATTGTCATCATATAATATACCACCATTACCATCCAATCTTAATGGTCAGTGTAAATTGATGATTCGTTTTTTGCCCATAATTCTATTCTATTGTTAAATTAGATTTTCGACGTCAATCGTTATCATCATTAAGATCACAAAGTTCATTGAAAAGTCTTTCATCATTTCGAAGTCAACATTCGTATCGTGGATTATCGAATAATCAACAACAACAACAACATCCAATGTCATCGTATCATCGTGGTGCTATTCACTGCCAACAACAACAACAATCAAAATTTCGACCACCATCGCATCAAACATCGTATCATGATTTACGATTTGCTTCAAGACAACAGCAATTAGTTTCATCACCATTGGATAGTCAAACAACAACTGATCAATTTGGTTTTCAATTACCAAATCATTTACCTGCAACACAAATTTTAGATCGATCACGTATTAAATGTGCTAATCATCGTTGTGGTACTGGATCTAAAGTACGCAGTGTAAGTATTTTCGATAATCAAAAAGAAAACTATATAATTTAAAATCTACTATTTGGATCTAATAGGAAGTTTGTCTTGTACATAATATGCCCGAAATGCTTCAACAACAACAACCACAACAAGACTAAACACAAATGTCTGCTTGTTTCATTTTTCATTTTGTGCCTAATTACAAAACAAAACAAAACACGAGCATTATTAATTAACTAATTAATTATTCATATGAATATCACACACACACACACACACACTCAAAAACATTAAATAACCATCACACATCACTCAACAACAATCAAAAAAAGAACGAAAAAAATTCTTTAAAAAAAAGGAATTAGGCTCTATAGTCAATCTAAACAAATCAAATGAAATTATAATCAATTTTTTAATTAATTAAAAACTTTTAATTTGAAAATTTATTCAAAATTCTCATTACAAATTTTCCAAAATTCAAAGATTACAAAAATTATTTTTCATCAACACCAGGTCTTTCTTGATGATATGGTTCATCATAAAGTTGCATCATATCTTGTTCACTAATACGTTTCCAACCACTTTCTTTAATAGTAAATACACGAACAATACCACCAGATGCTGCATCACGATGTTGAGCATGAAATATAGCACGACGTCCAAGATCATAAGCTTCATCATCAGTCATATCATGTTTATAATATGAATCCAAAACACCATATGCATAAGTTGAACCAGAACCAACACTAAATAATTTCCCCGGTTGACGATTTCCTTCATTATCAACATAGAAAATTTGTGGTCCACGAACTTTATCCCAGCCACAAATCATTACACCTAATGAAAGACCCATACTAAACAAATCAATGAAAACAATAACAATGTGTTAATGTTGATTGAATGATCAATGTTTTTTACATACCCTTTATAGCTATACAAAATATTGGCCAAAATTTTCGATGCAGCAGCAACCGAAATACGTTGTTTATTTCTCAATTCAAACAAACGACATTCTTTTGACAGAACACGTTGCCAATACATACAATCAGCCGCACCACCGGCCATTGTTCCCAAAAGAAAATTATTAATAATGATAATTTTTTTACATTCCTGTGTACTGATATATTGACCACCGGTAGCACGGGAATCAGCACAAACAACTACACCACCTTTGTAAACAAATGATAATGTTGTTGTACCTTTATTGAATTTCATGGCAATTTTTCTGGCTGGATCCGAATACAAATTCATTTGATCTCTGGGTATTGATAGGCAAATTTGATGATGATCATCTTCGATAACTTTTTCATAATCGGGTAATTCACAATGTTTTCGATCCAAATTAAATTGTTCGTTTGGATGTAATCCAAGATATGCTTCTAAAGCCATTGTGTTTCAAGATTGATTTTGACAAATTATTTTTTTAAAAAAAATTTTTTTAAAAGTTTTCTTTTAAATTCTTAACACAAAATGCACAAATGAGAATGACTGAGCGAAATCTTTCTGTTTTTTTTTCATTCGGCCAAATATAGACCATTCATATAGAACGTTCTGAAATTCATTCTTCGATTTGATGGTGTTTTCCAAAAAAAGTCATTTCGATTTTTGTTTTTGTTTTTTGGATGAAAACCGCGGTAATCATTTCTTTCTTCGATTTTATTCAATTCAATTGCCTGAAATGATAACAACATTCCTGCGATAATTTCAATTCCAATAATCAAAATGTTTGTCAAACAAAAATTTTCGATTTTTCTGATGATGATTCAGATAGCAATTGTCATGATTGTCATCATCATAAATTCATCATCAGCGACGAATCTTGATTTAACCAAAATTCATTATCTTTTTCAAAATGAAACCAATTTATTATCAACAAATCCAAAATGTAAAAATGAATTACCTGAATTATGTGGTCATGATGAAAAAATTCTCGGTAATAATGTTGAAATAATGAATTGTATTTTCGAACGTTCAGATTCGGAACGAAAATTATCCGAACAATGTCAACATCAGATTTGGTCATTTAAAATGGAAGTAACAAAATTAGATCATTTTACCGAAATAACAAAAACTGTTTGTAAATCATTATTGAAACAAAATCATGATTGTTTAGATGCTGAAACTGAAATTGATTCAAACATTAATTCGGGTGCAAATATTCTCAGCTGTTTGATTGAAAGAATTTCATCCGAAACTGATGATCATTGTAAATTATTTCTACAACAAATGGAATTAATTATTTTCAGTGATTATCGTTTGATAAATAAATTTACAAAAGAATGTGAACAATCAATACAAGATTGGAAATGTGGTCGTTTAGATTGGCAATCTGATTTACATAGTCAAACAAATACCATACAATGTCTACAAAAACATATTGATCAATTACCTGAACAATGTCAAATGGAAATATTAAGAATATCCGAACTGCAAAGTAATGATTTTCATTTGGATAAACCATTATATTTTGCTTGTCGTAATGATCGTGAACATTTTTGTCAAAAAATTGAATCTGGTAATGGTCGTATTTATAAATGTTTAATGTCTAATCTGGATGATCCAGAAATGAGTGAAGAATGTAAAGATAAACTTATACAACGTGAACAATTAATTACACGTGATTATCAAATAAGTAAAAGTTTTGTTCAAGCATGTCGCCTTGATATTCGTAATCATCAATGTCGTGAAAATATTAAAGGTCGTAAAGAAATACGTTTATCACGAATATTATTATGTTTAGAAAATGTTCATTCAAAAGGTTTAAATTTACTGCCTGAATGTCAAGCAGAAATGTTATTACATCGAAGATTTTTATTTGAAAATTATAAACTTACACCCGATCTGGTTGATGCTTGTCAAAATGATTTGCATGATTTTTGTCCAAATATTGAATTTGGTGCAAAAATCCTACATTGTTTAATGAAACATTCAAAAACAAAAAGACGTCGTGGTGATGCACATGATCGTAAACGTATATCATCAAATTGTCAACAAGAAGTTGAAAAATTATTAAAAGAAGTAAATTTTGCTGAAGATTGGCGTGTTGATCCTGTTCTACAACAATCATGTCAATCAACAGCCGATAATTTATGTCGTCATATTCAACCTGGAAATGGAAGAATTCTTGGTTGTTTAGCTGAACATATTGATTCACCACAAATGGCTGAAGAATGTCGTGAATCATTAAATCAAATGCAATATTTTGTTGCACGTAATTTTGAATTAGATTCAGAAATTTATGATGCATGTCATCCGGATGCCGTGAAATATTGTGGTGCACATCGAAATTGGCATCAAAACAATGATATGATGAATGGAATAATGGATCCAGAACGTGGACCAAATGTAATTGCATGTTTATATCGTTATGTTTATCATGTTAATCATCACCAAAACAAAGATAAAGACAAAGACAATCAAAAACAACAACAACCAATCCGTATTGGAAAACAATGCGTCTATCATATTAAACGTGTAATGAAACAACGTGCATCATCCGTTGAATTATTACCATTTATTGAAGCACCTTGTCTACAAGATCTAGTTAAGTATTGTAGTTCGGTACAAGTTTTTGGTAAAGGTTATGAAATGTCATGTTTACAAGAAAATTATCAACAACTTGATTTGAAATGTCGTTTAGCAATCGGAAATTTTACCATTGCTCAAAGTTCAAATTTTGAATTAAATTATCCACTGTTTAGATCTTGTTTGAGTATTGTACAAGAATTATGCGCCACTGAATATGAAAATGATAATATTATCAATGATGATGATGATGATGATGATTCGGAATCAACAACATCGAATCAAGTAATACAATGTTTGATTCGAAATAAAAATCATTATCGAATAAAATCTAAACAACAATGTCATCATGCTATTGAACATTTTCAATTGATCAATAGTAAAGATTTTCGTTTTGATCCACGATTTAAACAAGCATGTAAACAGGATATTGAACAAAATTGTCGAAATTTTCGTACAAAATATGATGTTATTAATTGTTTAAGTTTGGCATTATTTAATGATTCAAATAATAATGATAATGATGATTCATTTGGTCCACAAACAAATCAAATTGGTAGAAAAATATCGAATGAATGTCATCGTATGTTACGTGAAGAATTATATCAATTGAATGAAGATATTGATCTTGATCCAGGTCTATTACAAGCTTGTCAACATGATCGTCAACAATTTTGTTCAAATATTCAACCAGGTGAATCACATGTTTTGGAATGTCTGAAATCAAATATTATTCGTTTGAAACGTGCTTGTCAACATCGTTTATTTCGTAAACAATATATTGAATCAATGGATAATTCTGTTGATTATTCTTTACTTTCAATGTGTAAAATTGCTATCGATAAATATTGTATACTATCAGATTTACATGATGTAATTTATTGTCTACGTGATCATCGAAACGATCCAAGTATGGGTCATAATTGTCGTTCATTAGTTTTGAAACGTTTAGCACAACAAAATCAAGATTATCGTTTGAATCCACGTTTAAAATCTGGTTGTCGTATAGAAATTCATCGTCATTGTTCGAATATCATACGGGAAAGTAAAACGAATGAATTATTAGATGGAAAAGTTATTGCCTGTTTAAAACAACAATATCTTCATAATACATTATCGCAAACATGTGAAATTGAAATTATTAACATTATTCGGGAAGTATCGATGAATATTGAACTGGACCCGATACTTTATCGTGTTTGTCAACGTGAAATTCATCGAAAATGTTCCAATGAAACGGATATTAATGAATGTTTGAAAAATCGTTTTCTTTCGAAACAAATCGATGATTTGGGCTGTAAACATGAAATTGCACGGTTGATTAAAGAAACTGAAGCTGATATTGAATCCGATCGACATTTATTTGAAATTTGTTTGTCGGATTTGAAAACATTTTGTTCGGATGTTATTTCGGGTCATGGTCATCAATTGAATTGTTTGACACAAATTCATCATAATTCACCACATCGATTAAGTACTGAATGTGATACATTATTATCAAAACGAATACAATTATTTGAATATGCTGGTCAAGAATATATTGCTATTGGTGATTCATTTGTACAAATGTTTCATGCCGTATCTAAATCACCAATACATAATTATGTTTATTTATTTTTATCAATCATATTGCTTTTAATATTTTTATTTGGTGCATTTTGTGGCCAAATTTATCAACCAATTCCTACTAGTGATAAAATCAAATAGAATTATACTCCTCTCCCCCCCAAATTCAACTATCTACTAATTTGAATTGAGAATGTTTCTGTGTTTGTGTAAATAAGGTTTATCATCATTTTTTATGGATAAATAAATATTTTTCTTTTTATAAACTACTACAAATCGCAATATTTTGGTTTTTCACGACAAAGACCACGAAGTAATTCACGTGCTTCTTGTACACCATTTTTCGATGCATAACGTAATAATTTTCGAACTTCACCTGTAATGAAAAAAATTGTTATTGTTGAAATAGATCAAAAAGTGTCAAAAATCAAATTACCTTGTTTAACATCGGTACGATAACCACTTAGATGACCAACAGCCAAATTATATGCTGAATGTGGATGACCTTGATCGGCTGATCGTCGAAACCAATAAAATGCTTCAGCATGTGAACGATTTCGTATTAATTTATGTCCCAAAACATGTTGTGCATGATGATCATCAACATGATTTGCATAAAACCGGGTTAAATGATAATGAAAATGTTCAAACCAAAAATATGTATAAAAACATAATATTATTGTTGCCAATATTAATGATAACTGTATGAATGTTGATTGCCATTGTTTCCATTCTTGTTTCCAATTATCGATTGAAAAATTTTCTTTTTCCAAAAATGTTGCTGATTCATCACATTCATCCAATGATGATGATTGTGATGGTAACAAATTCGATTGATCACCATTGTTGGTCGATGATGATGATGATGATGATGATCCATTATGGATCAATAGCGATGATTTTCTTCGCCTTAAACGACGTGTCATTTTTTTTACTGACCAAGTTGAAAAAAAAACTTTGCTGACTGAATGAATATTCATCCGAAAAAGCAATCAAGAAAAAGTCACTTAAACATGATTGTTATATATGAAAAAATATTGTTTTTTATTAATGAATTTTTAATAACCACCCAACGAACAAACAAACAAACAACAATCTTATCAATTATTCATATGACAATCAATTAATGTTCTAGAAATAATGAGAAAAAAAAATCTGGCCAATTAAAACTGGCAAAATTCTGTTTAAATCCAGTAATTCTTTTGGTTATCTGAAGATTAAAGATCAGTTGTACAGCCACCACTACCATTATCTGTGATGGAAGATGGTGGTTGTTGTAATGTTGATGGTGGCGGTGATGAAGGTGAACAAGATACCATTGAATTTCCAGGTGATAATGGTGTTTGATTCGGATTCTGTGTAGATGATAATGAATTATGATGATGATGTTGAAAGGATGATAATTCATTTGATGTTATTGGCGAACCTAGATTCATAATTCCTGATGAATTGTTTGTGGTTGTTGTTTTCTGGCCAAACGATAATGGTGTTGTTGTTGTTGTTGTCGATGTATTATTCGATTGTGTTTGTGTATAATTATTATTCGAAGATGATGATGATTGTCGAATAGTAATCATTCCATTTCTAGCACAAGCAGTACGTAAAATTAAACTAGTTGCTTTCATTTGCCAATCACGTCCTTTTTCCATCACTGTTTCAAATGTTGATAATCGTAGATCAGTATCTTTGGCATAAAGTATTTTATTATGTGAATCAATTCGTGCCTGTATCATACCATCCAAAATTAGACGCATTAATTCATCTTCAAGTGCCAAGACAGAAGTGTTAAATGCTGATGCCATACGATTTAAATTGGCCGATAAATATGGTGTAAAATATTGAATCAATGCACGGCTACGAATAAGATTATATAGTTTTTTAACATGAGTGGCCAAATATATGTCGAGCATAAAAGCATCTTTTAATTCATCCAATAATTTTAAACAATCAGGATATTTTGATTCCAGAAATCGACTAATAGCTTCACGTAGTTGTGGTTCTAATTCTAAAAATAGACGAAAATCCGAATTATGTAGGACTTTTTTACGAAGTTCATCACGGTCGAATGTGGCCAATGCACAAAGACCACCATAAATGGCAACATTATTCGGTGACATAATATCATTCAATGATTTAAGATCATCAATATGTGATTTAACAAAACGTTCGGCCGATTGTCGATAATCACGATGAACTAAATTCAATAGGCCAGCAATACAATTGATTTTCGATTTATTCGTTTGATTTGTACTGAATTCTCCAGCTTCAGCTTTCTGTATATGTGAACCAACATGTGACCAATTCTGAAGATAAATATTCAATTTGATAACATTCAAAAAAATTGTAAACAAATGATGATCACCCATACAATAATCACGTGAACGTGTATAATATTTTAATGCATTGGTCAGGTCACCACAAAGTAGATGATGTGAACCAAGATCATCATGTCCACGACGAATACTTTCTTTAATCGAATTTGTTTTATAATTTTTCAAATCGGTTTCCAATTTTTCGAATATAATTTGCGATAATTTTGTTTGTTTTTCAATCCAACCATTATCCAATGGTTCAACAACAACATTCGAATGTTGTTGTTCACCTGAAGATTGTTGTTGACCATTAGTTTGAGCTGCAACCAATTTACCATGTATTTTCAAATACATCGATACATTATATGTATGTGTTTTAACATATTTCATTGCTTGTTCCAATGCATCTATTTGTAACGGTGGACAATGATCAGCAATATACATTAAACGTATCAATTTTCCATGGCCAGAATATTGACTTGCATATGTTTCAACTTCGAATGGTGCCGAATCAATTATATGAAAATTATTATTATCCGAATTCGATAGATCACTACCATCATCAACATCGACATCAACATCGATTGATGCATCCAATTGCATCGGTTCAATGTGATTTGCAAAAGACATAATTCTCGATTCAATCAAATTTAGTTTAGAAAAGAAAATGTTTGAAGAATTCTTAAAAGAAAAATCTCGAAACTCAAAATTCAAACAATAAAAAGTGTAAACAACAACAACAACACAAAGTGACAATGAACACGCATCATTCGGCGATTAAAATGTGCGTAACATCTTCTATGAACAATCATCAATGAATTTATCTGAAAATTTTCATTGAATCAAACGCGAGCTGCATTTTTTTGGTTAACTGAAAACATTGGTGAAAGTTGAAATTTTACAAATCAAATCAAATAATCATGCCGATCCTGAATCTTGGTGATGATGATGGACCAAAATTTGTTGGCATCAAATTCTGTCAAGAATGTAATAATATGTTATATCCAAAAGAGGATAAAGATTCTCGTGTTTTACTTTATGCATGTCGAAATTGTGATTTTAAACAAATGGCCGAAAATAGTTGTGTCTATGTGAATCGTATTATGCACGAGATTGAGTAAGTCAATGATAATTTAATTAATCTGTTTAAAAATTGACATTTTTTCCGTTTTTCGTTTTGTGACTAAAGTGAATTGAGCCGAATCGTTCCGGATGTTATTCATGATCCAACATTACCACGAACCAAAGAACATCCTTGTCCACATTGTGGCCATAAAGAAGCTGTATTTTTTCAAGGACAATCACGTCGTGCTGAAGAAGATATGCGATTATATTATGTTTGTACCGAACCAAAATGTACACATAAATGGACAGAATGATCTCTCTCTCTCTTTTTTCAAGTATTATTAGCGAAAAACAAATGAAAGGGAAAATTGAATTTTTTTTTTATTTTGATTTTAAATAACAAAAATCTATATCATTAAATCAATAATCTTTGCTTAATATTGCCTATATGGATATTGTTGTTGTTGTGGATTATTATGATTGTAATTGAATCCAGGAGCAGGTGGTTGCGGTAATGATTGTGGCATTACTTGTTGAGATTGTTGTTGAATTGAATTCAAATTGAAACCAATAGGTGGATTTGCCGCTGTATTATTAGTTGACGGAGGTTGTTGCACTAGATTGGATTCCGTAACAGTACCATAAGGATTCGGCATCGATGATACTGGTCCTGCTGCATATCCAGAACTATTATTATTATTATTTGCTGGCAAGACTGGTATTGATTGAGCCCTTGTTGTTTGGGGTTGTGGTGGATAACCACCTACCGTGGAGGAGGTTATCGGATTATTATATGGATTAGAATTTATCGCTTGTGGAGAATAATTCTGTTGCTGTTGTTGCGGCAACATTGTTGATTCGTATGTAGGATTAGGATTAGCATTCGGATAAGGAGAATACGTAGCAGGATATTGTTGTTGTTGCGGTTGACCAACAGAAGGATAAGCTGCTGGTGCCATTGAAGAATTCGTATTATTATAATTTCCATATGAATTCATAGCTCCTGCTTGATAATTTGGATACGATCGTGGATTTACAGCAGCAGTAGCAGCAGGAACAGCTGCAGCAGCCTGTTGTTGAGGATAACGATATCGTTTATTTGAATGACCTGTATTTGCAGCCTGATTGATTTGTTCCGGTGAAAACATTGGTGGATCATTCCATGATTTATCTTGACGTCTTTGATCTATCATGTATTTTGAAATCGGAAAACAAACAATTATTTTAAATGACAAGATGATATGGTTTTTCACTTTACCATTATAATCCATGTTTGATTGTCAAAAAAAAATCAAAACGAAAACAAGGAAAATAAAAAGCTTGATGCAATCAACAAACAAAAAAAGTACTCAATTATAAACATCAAATAGCGAATTATGATGATGTTAAAACAAGCTTATGCCGACGCGTAAAAATGTTTACATTTCTGTCAAATTTTTTTTTGCAAATGACAGAAAAATTTTTCCGGAAACTTTCCCACGAAAATTTGTTTATTCAAAAAAAAAAAATCTTTGGAAAATGAATATTTTTTTGGTTTTCTTTCAATCATTTTTTTTAGAAATTTAGAATTTATCTTATAAAGATATATACAAATAATCATTATTATTATTATCACATATTCTCAAAAAAACAAAACAAATTTTCACACACAGATAAAGGAGAGAGAGAGAGGAAAAAGAAAATTTTTTTTTGGTGGAAAAAGAAATGATAATGACAAGGGGATGAATGACAACAACAAATAAAGGAAAGAAAGAAAAGAAGAAAAATGTACATCATGTTTAAAAGGAAAGAAAAAGACTAAAAAAAATTTCTTGATTCTATGTAATGATGATGATGATGATGATGATTTGCAAAATTAAAAAACTAAAAATTTTTTCCATTTCTATTAGATAAATTGTTTTGTTTTTTGGCTTCAAGTTAAAATTGAGATTTTTTTGTTTTTTTGCGAACAATCTCGACTTGGAGTATCACACTCATTGTTTTTTTTGCATTACAGATTCATTTTCGAAAACGAATGTCAACAGCAACAGAATAATCTTTTAACAAAAGATGATTTCCATATTATTTTTTTCAAGCAGTAAATTGATGTGAACGATGATGATGTTTTCGGTGTGCAAATCTTTTTGGCCATGGTAATGGCCATTCAAATATTCTTTGTACTTGATTGACACGATAATAATCATCATTTTTTAAATGATGATGATGATGATGTTTTGAATGACTATAATGATTTGATAATTGTTGTGAATGATGATTTGGTATGACACGAATATTTTCTAGATAAACAAATATTGGCCACCACCAAACACGATTCAAATGATTTGAAGTTGATTTTAGCTAATCAAGATAAAAAACATGAACAATCCATAAAGAAAAGAACATTTTTTAAAAAATATCTTACATTAATGGCACTGAAAGAACACAATGTATGATAGATCCAGAATATTCTTGTCGTAACATAATAGGCAATAATTATATCAATAAAATAATGACCACGTGCAATTAATATACAAATTATACTTGTTACAGTCATTATTATCTGTATAATATCAACACATCTCCATGCAAGTGTTCGTCGACGTGAAGGTAACAGATATTCTTGCTGTATCAAATATGCTGTTTGTGTGTGTATCAAAGGGAAAAATAAAACGATGTTTATCAATCGACCCCAAAACAAAACTATACTACTTACTTAAAACTAATATCACTGTATGGCCAGAAAAAATATAATCACCACAGAAAGTATGATGGCCATTAATTGAAAGACCCATACCAAGACTCATATAAAATACACGTGAAACAATAATTTCAATAAATTGTAATGATGTTATATTTTCATATTGGGATGAATTTTTTAGCTAAATATTTGCATATACAAATTAAATTGTCATTATTATTTCATTAATTCCATTACCTGTGGTGAACATGAATAATTTTTACTAGCCAATGGTAGCTGTGTTGATGCCAAACAAAGTGCACGAAAAAAATAAATGATACCCAATATGATGCATATTCGTCGTAATATTGTCGATCTATTTAACAAACAAACAAAAAAAGTTAAATCATCATAGACAAAATTGAAAAAAAAATTTGTAAAACATACCTATGTTTATGAAAAAATAATAAAAGACCTATACAAACAGTTTGTATAACAATAACATATTCAGAAATATCAAGAAAATGACGATGATCAGGTAATATATCGAATGCAATATCAGGCAGATGTGGTTCTTGCATTGGTATTCGTTCATGTATAACCGATATTACTAATAAATTTAAAGTCATATTGAGCGAAACAAATACCATTGATAAAAGATTTAAAAGTATAATATTTTTCAATGATTGTGTACGTATCACTGTATAATGTGAATGTAAATGATGATTATAATTATTATCCGGTGTTGACATTAATAATGAACTAGATTCTTCTTCATTTATTGAATTTAATAAATCATTTTCATTATGAATATTATGATGATGATGATTATGTTGATGGTGAATGAGACCATTATTATTATTATTATTATTTCTATGATGTGGTGATAAACCATGATCCATTGTTAAATGAACTGACGACGATGACGATGATGATGATGATGATGATTGACCATCATTTTGATGATAATGATGGTTATTATTATTACTATTATCATGTATAATTACCGTTGTTTTATTAGCAGCATTATATGTTTCATGTATTGGTGATATTGTTGCCGATGTTGAATTTGATGATGATGTTGTTGTTGCTTGTGATAATAATGGTTCAATTTCACCAATTTTTACTTGTTTATCCGATAATTTATTTGAATTCGTTTTTCGATTATTATTATCACTAATATTATTAGTAATTATACCACCACCACCACCGCTACCACCTTTAACCATATTACCATCACTATTTGTAGACATCATTATATTTGTTGTTGTTTGTTCAATAATCGGATCTTTAGACGTTTGATGCGTTGATGGCAATGGTGATGAAATGAATGTCAACTGTTGAACAATGTCAGCTAAATTGTTGTTGTTGTTATTATAGCCGTTTTTCAATTGATGACTATTTGCAAGGATGTTGTTAAAATTGTTCGATACATTCGAATTGTTATGTTTATTATTTTGATGATAATGTTGATTATTGGACACTGATGACGACGATATTGTTGATGTTGATGATGATGATTGCAATTGTCGCAATCTTGGTGTCGTTGTAGCAGTCAATATATCCTTACTATAATTCATCTATTCATTTGACAAAACAAACAACTGACTTACTGTATAGTTCGAATATAATTAAAATGTTCGATTGATGATTTTTTTTCGGGCAACAATAATGAAATTAAATCGAAGAAAAAAGAAAAATTCGATAATTTTTCGTTTCGTTTTTTCCAGAATAACAATATCGCCAGATAAAAAGTAACAAAAATATAAATAAATAAAGAAAAAGGTCCAACGGGCAGACAAAATTTTTTTGTTTTGTTGACAAATAATTTTGCAAATGATAACACAGTGTTAAGGAAAAAAAATCAATGATAATCATCCATTTTTCTTCTTCGTCGTTTCTTCTTTGTTGAAACCGAGATTAGATTATTATACTTTCTTTCGTTTGCAATATATTATCAATAGAATTGATTTCTTTGGTAAAGATTTCTTGTTTTGTTTTGTTTTCGTATGGATGATGATTCAGTTCAGTCTGTTTTATTTTTCTTTTTGATTGATTGATTCGGTTCTTTAGATTATGTACATGACTTTATATCAAAACAACAACAACCAAAAATGAATAAATTTTCCATAAAAATTTTCAATAAGTGTATATCATCCAAAATAAATGGTTTTATGACTTGTTGCGATAATAATAATAATAATAAAGTGGATAATATGTGGGGATAATCTTATCAAATTTTTTTTGATCGTATGATGCTTTTGTTGTTGTTTGATGATGATGTTCGTAATAGCATCCTCTGGATACAATTGTTGTATCAAGAGAGAGAGAGAGAGAGAGAGAGAGAGAGAGAGAGAGATGAGAGAGTCAGGCGTTTCTAATTGAACAATGTTAAGGATGAAATTGCATTATCATTTTTGTTGTTTTTTGTTAATTAATTTTTCCATCATCAACCCCTTAAGTGTATGTGTCTATGTTAAATATCGTTGAGAAAAGTACAAACAAAAAAAAATTAAAATGATACTTTTGATTACAAGAATAAAAACTTACCCTGATCAATTCATGAATTTGTGAATGATGAATCATTCAAATAAAAACGTTCTATAGAAAGGTAGATGCAAATATCAAACTCAACTATAAACAATTAACATTTTCAAACAGGAAAACAAACAAACAAATGAGTTATGACTTGGTAATGATAATGAATCTTCAATGGATGATTACAGGCAACGAAAAGAGAGAGAGAGAAGCGAAGACGAAAGAAGACGAAGAAATTTTGTTTGATTTTTTTTTTGCTTGTTTCGTTTAGTTTTTAGTCGGTAATAATCAATTATGATGATGATGAAAAAAGTGACGTTGGTGGTGGTGTTAAGCAAAAAGCAAAGCTAAAAATGATGTTTGGAAATTTTTTTTTTTGCTTTGAAGAATGTGGACTCGAAATGTGTGTGTGTTGTGTATTCGATCGAATGCAGCAAAGATTGTTGTGTATATTTGGATACACACACACAGGAGATCCACCACCACTATTCATCAATGTCGTTACGTTACTTTTGGATTCGAATATTCGAATGATCAATATCGAAGTTCTTGTCAATCAAAAAAATGATTAACATCGATTGATTTTAACGTCGAATTTCGGTTACCACAGTGATGATACAAGATGATGATGATGATTTAAATGATGATTCATTCAGGAAATCAAAAAAAATTTGAAGATTTGAGAACTTGTTGTTACCATTTATTGATGATGGAAACAGCGATTGTCAATGTAAATTCTTTTCTTTCAATTCAGGTCAATGTTGATAATTGGCATTAAATGGTTTGATAATGGTAGTATTGCGTTTCTTTCTTTGTTTTTACAATCAGGAAACCTAAAACGACACAGAAACAATAATCAACATCGACATTTACATCCTTTCATCATTATAATCATTTCAAGGATTTCTTTTCAACCAACAGCAAAAAAAAACGCCTAATAAACTTCAATAATAAAGATTTTTGAACGACAACAACACTGAAGATTATGAAAAAACATAAAATAACTGTCATATCATCTTGCATCGCCATAAAATAATAATCGTACATTTATGTCATTCGAATGTGCGTTACTGGTATCCATAATTTCCAATAATTTATTCGATAATTTATCAATAATCATCATCAAATATTCAAATATATGATTTGTAATGAAGCAAGAAACAAACAAACAAACAAAAAACCATAAAAAATTCAAAATATTTCAATGAAATAAATCAACGACCCAATCAGGTCAGTGAATCCAGTGTTTGATGATAAGAAAAAAAATAACTAAAACAAAAAAAAAAAATTTTCATCCGTGTCATTTAGATAGATAGAGAAAAAAATGTGAAAAAGGAATTCATATTTTGGCATAATTTTTCGTAACCATTTGTGTTGGTTCAGTATGTCGACGATCGGTTGAACGTATTGCAGATGATGATGCTGAATTGGTTAGCGATGATGATCGACAACAGCAGAATATATTTGACCATTTGTTGGTTGCTGTTCGATTTTCATCGATTCGATTTAATCGATGATGATGATGATGATGTAATAATGGATGTGATTCATCATTTTGTCTGGAAGAAGATGGCTGCTGCAATGATGTTGTATCATTACCATTCATTTGTCGATGATTTTTTGTCATCATATATTTCAATACCAAAACGATCATTATCAAAAGAATTGAACTAGCAACACCAATTATAATCCAATCACCAATTAATGGAAATAGACGATTCGATATTAGCTGTGCAATTTCAATGAATTCAAAATGATATTCAATACCCATTCGATAGAGAACATTTTCCGGTACAATCATTACTTGATGTTTTTTAGCTGCAAACAAATGTAATGATGTACCATTACCATATCCAACATTAAAATGTGGCCATAACATTGAACTATTTGAACATTGTTGTTCACGTAATTCAATTCGTCGTATTGTTTCATTAACCAAATGTAAACAAAGATAACGATTTAAATCATCTTGATTGGTAAGTACTTTTAATGATGTTCCATTTTTTGTTTGAATTAAACGTAATTCAGTTCCAGGATCAATTGATGATATTGGTAGAATTGATTCATTTGGATTAATCATTTGTATTTCAGTTCGTATATGATTAATTAATGGTTCAAAACGTATAATACTTATGGCTGTATCATTTAATGGTGCCATAAAAACAAAAATTAAATCACCACGTTCATTCAACCATATTGCACCTGAAATATGTTCATTCGAAACAATTGAACGAAAATCTTCATTCCAAAATAATGCTGGAAATCTATTTTGTAATGGTAATGGTTTTGATGCTAAATTCATTAAATCTTCTGATTGTTTTGATTCAAATACATATAAATTCCGGGTTAATAATAATTTTCGATCATATTGTGGTAATTGTCCAATTAATAGCAAACTTTGTCGATCACCAACAATCGAATCATAAAGTTCATTCTATTCAGAGAAAAAAAAACACCATTTTTTAAGAATTCATTTTGGGTGAAAATCCCATTTCCGTCACAAACATTCGATCAAGATTATTGATTTACTAACTTACGTTCAATCGATTACGTTCAATATCGGTTGGTATCCAAATAAACAGTACATAACATATGAATGAAATTAATGCAAAAATCAATAGATAAACTATTATAAATGTGTTGTGGTTGGAAATGGAAGCAAAAAAATGTTTGATTAGATAAAAATCTTTTTTCATATAAACATCGTTGAAATCAAAAGAAGAAGAAAAACGAAAAAACACGAAACTTACAAACCAAAACCAAAACGGAAACAAATATTAACCAACAAAATTTAGATAAATCAGCCGGTGATGGATGATGAAAATCCGGTACTTCGGTAACGATCAATTGTGGCCGGTTATTATTATTGTATTGATAGGAATCATTTTTACTAACATTAAAATCTCTATTACGATCTCTATATTGACCAATATGTTTTGGATGATGAAGATGACGTTGTTGATGATTTCTTTGTAAACTTTTTTCACGTAAACTATTCTCCGTACTTGACATAATCGATTGTGATAATAATAATGATGACATTTTTTTGCGTTTTACGTTTTGTTTGGTTACGTTTTACGTTTTGGGTAAATTTGAAAAGCAAAAGTAATCGATGTTGGTGTAATGAATCGTTGTTGATCAATGAATATCGATTTGGTAAATGTAGAGAAAATTTATATAAATCCTCGACAAAAAAAAAGAAAACCTGATTGATGAACTCGAAATCAATCAATCAATCAAAAAAAATTCAAAATCTGGCTACTAGTTTTGTGCGTTACACTTTTTTCTTCAATGATTTTTGATTTTTGATTTGATTAAATCTTATCAATTAAATATAAAATAAGTCATTTGATCGATATAAATATCATGGAATCAATTCTTTTCATTTTTTTTATCACAAAATTGATAATGTTGATTTTTTTTCATTTCTGTACTTTCATTCAGTTTCAATTTCAATGTCGAATGATGATAATAATGAAAATGCTTTCAAAAAAAAAAAAATTTTTTTTAAGAAAATTTTTTTCAAAACTTTGTTTCTAACCTAACCTCACTCAACCATAAATCATAGTCATCAACCTAACCTCACTGAACTATGAATCACAGGCATAGTCATTGGTCATCAACCTAACCTCACTGAACTATAAACAACAACTCACACAACATGCACTTTTTCATTATTTGAAAATTTGAAGAACAAAATTTATTTTTTAAAAACAAAATTTTGAATTATTTTAAATGCAGGAAAAAAAAGAAATCTTGACTAGGTTTTGTTGAAATGGACAGAAAGAAAAGAAAATTGTTTTGTTTTTGGAATGAAAATGTTGGAATGTCGGTTGTGTTTCGAACGTTTTTTGTTTTCTGTGATGACAACAACAACAATAATAATGTTTTTTAAAATATAAATAAAATACAAAAAAATTACGAAAAAAAAGTTTGATTTTCTAATATTGTTGATCACAGTAATTTGCTTTATTTTGTTTGATGAGATCATTCAACAAAATGCTATGAATGATGATGATGGCTAGATGATGATGGTGAATTTGAATTGGAACGACATTGACGATTATTCAACATTGGATATGATAAAATTTTCGATCTCATCATTGAAAGTGTTGGTAATTCATTAAGAATTTGTAATGCTTCAGCGCTTAAAACTTGTTCATTCATTCGATTTATTGTTTTGTTTGTTGTTGATTTGGTTGAAATTTCATTGTTGTTGACAATCGCTGATTCAGTATCGATCCTCAAAAATTCTATGGAAATTGACAAAATGAAAAATCAGAAAAATTTAACTGAAATCAACCGATCAACTTACCATCAAATTCTGCAATAAGATTATGATGATGATGATCCTCATTTTTAACATTGGAAATGTTGTTGTTGTTGCTTACATATTTAGTTTCAAAAAAATCTAAATCTTGAGCTAAATTATTACACAACATTGATTGATTTGTTGTCGTTGTTGATGGCAATGTCGTCATCGAATGATCAGCTGGCCATTCCAATGATTCCGCTGTTGTTGTTGATGATTCGATTTTTGTTGTTAAATGATTTTTGTTTACGTTTGTTTTACAGAATACATCCGCCATTGTTAATCCATTACATTCATCGTCATTCGCATCAATTTTTGTCGCTGTTGTTGTTGTTGTTGAATAATCATATGCTGTTGGTTGTAAAATTTGATTCAAAGTAATGTTGGTGGTTGATGGAAAAATATCCGGTGGAATCTTAAATTCGACAAAATGCAATGAATTTTCAACTGAAATCATGAATATGAAATAATACTTACCACATTACGTGAATCAATTTTTAATGATTCTATTAGATGTTTAAATGATGATGATTGTTTCCATTTATTGAAATGAAAATTTAATTTTAAATCTAATTGTTGAAGATTATTCCATAATTGTTGTGCATTTGGATCACAGAATTTTTTATCAAAAAAATCAATTGATAATCGTTCATCATCGTAGATTGAAGAAGTTTTGATTGGAAATGTATCTTCAATTAATTGTCGAGAATTTTTCAATGTTTTTATGTTTTTATCATCATCAGTGACGATTGGCTCTGGAACATTGGCGGTGGTGGTGGTAAAATCGGCAAAATCATCAAAATCTTCATCGAAATTATCATCATCATCATTTTTTTGATTCGAATCGGGCATAAACGTTGCAAAATCGGCAAAATCATCATCATCCTGATCATTTTCTTGTTGATGATTATCGATGGTATCGATATGTTGTTCGGTTTTGTTCGAATTCGAATCAATATTATTATTATTATTATTATGATTCATCACAGTTTGATTCGAACAGATATTCGTTTGTAGCTGGTCTTCGTTCAATTCTTCATCATCATTTTTTGAATGAAAACCATTTAAATGATGATTGAAAACTGATTGATGTTGTTGTTGTTGTTTAAGTTTTACATTCGTTATTATCGTCGTTGTATCGTTGCTTATTTGTGTTTGATTATCATCATCTTGATTATTATTTGACGACATTGTTGTTGTTGTTATTGGTTTTGATAATTGTTCTTCAAATATTACCATAATTTATTCGAATCATTGATTACAAAGAGAAAAGCAAACCATATGGACTAAATTTAATTAGAATTATGGTGTTTGATTGTGGATTGTTCTATATATATGGAACCGAGAAAACCAAAAACAACATGAAAAACATTGAAAATCCATATGATTCATTCAAACAAGGTTAGAAGAATGGAATTTTTATTTTATTTACCTGAAAATATCGTTATCTTTGTTTGTTTTCTTGCTTTTTTCTGTGTGTTGCCATTGGGGATGTATCTAAAACATTCATTCTTTCTCCGTATATATTTTGTGTGATACAGACATTAAAGTTATCATCATTTTGATGATTTAAAAAGTAGTGGCAATTTACAGTGGTGGTAATCAAAGTTGTTGTTTGTCTGTTGTTTTTTTTCGAGGATCCAACAGAACACAACAAATGGAGAAATATTATTTGGAAGATGCGCCTTGTTCTTTCTCCCGTTTCGTCTAACCTGCAGAGGTTAAGGCAAAAAAAGCACACCACTATCGACGCCCACACTCTTTTTTGTTTCAGAAAAAAATTTTTATTGAAATTTTTTATTGAAAAAAATGATTTTTCCGGTGAAGGGGAATGGGGATTTCAAATAGTTTATACGTGTCATTTTACTTTTACTTTACTTTTTTACAAATACATTTAAGGGGGGTGATGAAAACTCTCTATATCGAGATTATCATTGATGATGATTATGAATATTCGATTGATTTGATTCGATTTTTCATAATTTAAGTTTATTTTTAATATCAATACTAATACTGTCATTACCAAATATTAAACGTAAACGTTTAGCTTGACTTAATTTTTGTTCCAAATTTATTTGTTGTTGTTGTTGTTGTTGTTCAGTTTCAATTCTAGGTAACAATAATGATGATGATGATGATGATGAATGTTTCGAAGATGATTTCTTTTTCTTTTTTTTCTTTCGTTGTATCGTATTTGATGTTGTTTGATTCGATGATTCAACAATCGATTGACCATTATTTAATATCGATGTTTGTTGTTGTTGTTGTTGTTTATCATCAGCATCAACAACCGAAGAATCATCAATCAATTTAGCCATTCCAATATTATTATTTATTTCTCGATGTTGTTGTTGTTGTGATGATAATAATGATGGTGGTGATGGTGATGATAAATGTCGATAATTTGATGAACATTCTATCCTTGTTGTTGTTGTTGTTGTTTCTTCGACCATTATCATTGATTGAGTATTTGATTTTGTATTTGTAGTAATATCACAATTTAAATTATTCGTAGAATGATAATGACCATGATGATTTGTTGAATCATTTGAAGAATGATGACGAGGATTCATTCGAATTGTTAATTTGATCGATTTTTGTGTTGAATTCGAATTATTTTGCGGAAAAGGACGATTCGATAGTATCGATGATTCAACATTACTGATGGTGTTTGATGATGATTTTGTCGATGATGATGATAATGGTGGTGGTGGTGGTGGTGGTGGCGATGTCGATATTTCCATCATTTTATCATCATCATCATCAACATCATCAATTTTATCAATTGGCGAAGATTCCTTATCCTGATCTTGATCATCTGATTTTTGATTAATCAATGAATTAATACGACTAGAACGTCTTAATTGTTTTGTTTGATTGATTGATGATGATAATGATGATTGTTGATCACCATCATCATTATTGACTGTCATGGACAATACTTTTGTTATCTTTGGTCTTGTTGATGGTTGTTTTGATGATAATAAAGATGATTCAGTGGATTTACGTCTTGTCGATGTTTTGGTCGAATTTGAATTTCTTATACGACTATTGACCGATTGTTGGTTTACTTGCGTTGAATTATTATCTGATGATGATGATGATATGGTACGTGTTGATGTTCGAACCGTCGTTGTTGATGATAATGATCGTTGTTGAGATCTAGTATTCGGAATCATACGTATGATGGCAGTTTTTGTTGTTGATTTTAAATCAATTTTTGTTTCGGAAACATTTCCCGATTTATTATTGTTGAGTTGTGTTTTTGTTGTTGTTGTTTGAAGTCGTTTTCGTTTTTTACGATTCGATGATGATGATGTGGATGATGACTGTTGTTGTTTTGGTTTTTTCTTCAATAAACCATTACTATTATGGCTACTATTATCATCACTATTTTGTTCATATAATTGATCAGCAATCGATTGATTTCTATAATCAGTTGGTTTTGTTGTTGTTGCGGATGATGGTGAATTGGATTCATCATCATCCGATGAAGTTTTAAGATTTTTTTGTTTCTAAAAAAAGAGCGAACGGAAAATCAAAAATGTTTTTTTTTCATATTTCAAAATCAGATAAACGGGAAAAAAAGGTAAAGGTAAAAAAGAGAAAATTCATTTATTGCATAAATAAATCAGGATTTTGTACAAAAACATGCATTTTAAATAATAATAATAATGATGATGGAATTTATCAACAAAGATTCAAATTCTGTGTGGATATATATTGTGTTTGTTGTTGTTTTGGTTGTTCTGTTGATTGTTATGTGAAAAAACCAAAATAATCTTATTTTTATTCTGACTAACCTGATTACGTATCTGTCTTCGTAGACGATTATCTGTTTCACGTAATGAATAACTTTGTTGTCCGGCTATTAATGATGTTGGTGGTGGTTGAACAGTCGTTGATGATTGTTGTCCAACAACGGCTGGATTATTATTCATTGCCGTCGTTGTTGTTGTTGCGGTGGCCAATGATGAATGAGAATTATTACTTGAATGATCGCTTGAATTTAATTTGTTATTATTTGCATAACGACCAACACAACGACGTTCACATGTTTCACATTCACAATAACAATTATTATCACCAAAAAAATCATCACCATAATAACAGGTAAGTTCTTCATCTTCTTCAATTGGCCGAAGAACTTTTATACAAGCCGTTGAACGACCAGTACTAACAAATTTACAATTTGGACGACAATCATGATTAATATAAGCACCCGGACCTAACCATAATTGTGCACAATTTTTACGACAAGAATACATAACAGAAAAATCATTTAGGCCGGGTTTCAAAAGTTCTTGTTCTTCTTTTGAACTAAGTTCACCAATACAACCAACTAGATGTTCAATTTTATCATTTTTTCGCCATTTTTGTGTTGAACATAATCTGGCACCACATTTTCCTTCCAATGAATAACGATAACAAGGACGAATTTCATAACCAGCTTGTTTATCAAACATACGAAGAAAATTTACGATATGTTGTCGAATGATTTTTTGCATTCGAATACTTTTTGTTGCATATCTATTTTTTAAATGAAAAACAAATTTCAGGATTAAGAAGATTAATGACCAAAACAAAAAACTTACAATGAATGTGCCCATTCACCATCAAAAATTTCTTTCAATGTTTGTTCATAATTTTGATGTTCTTTAAATTTCATAATTATTTTTCGTAATTGATCTTTTGGAACTTTTGGCTGACGAAATCTGTGAAACAAACTTTGCGTTTAAAAGCCAAACGATAACAACGATAAACATACCTTGTATTCATTTTATGTGTTGTAAACCCAAGATATTGATCAACAATCAATGCTGTAGCAATATCATCAGCTTCACAAAGTTCAGCCGGTGTTATTGGTATCTGATTGTTCACATTGAACAATGATCGTTGTTGTTGTTGTTGTGATATACGCATATTGTTCAAAAAAAAATGTAGACTTTTTTGTTCTTCAAGAAAAAGTGAATTCTTATCGGATAAAATCAGACAGAATATGACAATTTAAAGAAAGAGCTAAATGAAAACATTCAATCAATCAATCAATAGGAATTGAAATAATTATGTTCAATCAAGTTTTTTTTAAATGCGACAAAGTTTTTTTTTGTGCATAATTATCCATTGACATTTGATTTGGATAATCGATGATCCATATTGATAAGAACAACAAGAAGATAATTATGAAGCCAACTTTCTTTTGTAAAATATCGGAATATCAACAGGGGCAGAAAAAAAATTGGATTGTAGAATTGGTTCTCTGTGTGTTTTCGTTATTATGTTTTTTATTGTCGCCGTTGTTTTTTGTTAACATCCACAGAATTCAATATTGAATTGAATGTTGTTATACAGGCGAAAAAAAAACAAGAAAGAGAAAGAGAAAAATAGACAAAGTTATGACGCCAATTATGTGATTAAAAAAAAGATAGCCAAAATAAATAAAAAAAAATACCCGAAAAAAGAAGTAGCAAAATGGACAGAAAACAAACAGAAAACACACAGACGAGACAAACACACAGAGAATATACACACACATGACATGAGTCGGTGTTTTCATTCATTCGATCGAATGAATTCGAATCCAAACAAAAAACAAAAAACAAACAACATTGCTGCTGTTCATAGAGTACACTATCATCAGTGACCATTTCCACCAGAATGAATCATTTTGTGTAGAATTAGAATCGAATATTATTTGGCTATTGACAAAGCCAGCTGACAAAAGAGCTGATTTTTTGTTGTTGATCATCATCGTTTTTTTGCATCTTTGATGACAAACGTCATTTATAAACTTACTAATTAAATTTATCAAAGAAATTGTTGATCGTTTGAAATTACAAACAACAATAATAACAATGGTTTGTATGAATTTTTTTTTGTTTTCAAAACTTTTGGCGACTAACATGGCCATAAAACGCCCATATTATTTTCTGATTGATAGAGTTTTCTTGGATTTCGACAATCGGCTGATATTGATATATTGTTGGATGGAGCTGAAAATCGTAAAATGGCCGATATTAAAACTGAAGATGGCCGTAAAGAAAGATATTATCTTTATTATGATGGTGAAACTGTTTCAGGGAAAGTAAATATTAATTTGAAAAAATCTGGACAAAAATTAGAACATCAAGGAATTAAAGTAGAATTTATTGGTGAAATTGAATTATATCAAGATCGTAGTAATCATCATGAATTTACAAGTTTGGTAAAAGATCTAGCACGACCATCCGAAATGTTACAAAATACAAGCTATACATTTGAATTTGCAAATGTTGAAAAACCATATGAATCATATACAGGTAGTAATGTAAGACTTCGTTATTTTCTTCGTGTTACTATTGCCCGACGATTGACGGATATTGTAAAAGAAATGGAAATTATCGTACATACTTTATCACATTATCCGGAAGTTAATTCACCAATCAAAATGGAAGTTGGCATAGAAGATTGTCTTCATATTGAATTTGAATATAATAAATCAAAATATCATCTAAAAGATGTTATTGTTGGTAAAATATATTTCCTATTGGTACGGATTAAAATCAAACATATGGAAATAACGATTATTAAAAAAGAATCAACTGGTATCGGACAGAATACATTTAATGATAATGAAAATATTGCCAAATATGAAATAATGGATGGTGCACCAGTTCGTGGTGAATCGATTCCAATCCGTTTGTTTTTGGCTGGTTATGACCTCACTCCGACTATGAAAGATATTAATAAAAAATTTTCCGTTCGTTATTATTTGAATTTGGTTTTGGTCGATGAAGAAGAACGTCGTTATTTTAAACAACAGGAAATTATTCTTTGGCGTAAAGGTGATCGTATTCGACGTACTATTCCGGCTCAACAACAAGCACCGATACAACAACAACAATCGGCATCAATCATATCGCAGCCACAATTGTTGCCACCGCAATCATCACCACCACCATCGTCGCAACAGCAGCAGCAGCAACAATCATCATCTACCGTACAACAATCACAACAGCAGCCACAACCACAAGAAGCATGATCGGAAATTTCTTTGGGCGGATTTCATTTATTCCAGGTTTTTTTCTTTCAAAACACAAATATCATCGAAAAATATTTTATATAAAACACCGACCAAAACAAAACACAGCATACAAACAAAATGATGAGGGTGTAATATTATAACATGCAATAATTATTTTTTTTAAATAAAAAACATTGCAGAATTAAAAAAAAATTGATTTACAAAAATTTTAAAATTAGGAAATTGTAATATCAAAATAGTGGAAATATCTATTTCGACAATGGATGGCGACACTGTTGTTCGAACTGGAAAATCGAATCTTTTTTTTTCTTTTTTTTGAATTGAATTTTCGATGATTTTTAGCACTTCTTGATCGTATACAGATTGTATCCTGATTATTTATTTATTCTACGAAATAAGATAAATTCTATTCAAAGAATAAAATGTTTTTTCCGAAATATCGGATCAAATTCCGGATTACCATCTGTATACGTATCGAGATAGCACTAATGTTTTGTTTGTTTGTTTGTTTATTTCGATTCGATTCGATGATTTCTGTAACAACGAAAAAAAAACCAAATTAGAATCAATGTTCATGATGTGTTCTTACCCGTAATTCTTTGATGAAACAAAAAAACAAAATGAATTCTGTGTTTTTTTCAATCGACAAAATCAACCAACAAAATGAACAACAACAACGTCGTCAATAACGTCAATGATGATGATGATGAGAACTATAAATTCAAATGACAAAAAATATATTGTGTTTTTTTTTGTTTCGGGTGATGAAACCACCCATCTCTCTTTCATTGTGTTTAAAAAAAAATTGTGCTATAATGATGAAATGAATTCGCGCATAATCAAACGATAAACTCTAAAATGATGATGAATGATGGAATTCTGGATCGATTCTGGATATACATTGATGTTCCGGTTTGTTTTTTGGTTTAACCACACACATATTGCAACCATCACAATGTTGTTTTGGTTTGGTTTTTTGGTTGAAATTCACTATTTTCAAACAGAACTGAATCGAACTGTCAAATTCATCACTAAATAATAATAAAAAATCTCTAACGTAAGTGATGTGAATGTGTCTATATATCGTGCATTGCACAATTGTGTTTTGTCCAACCTACTTCGTAATAACAAAAAAAAAGCTTTTCTTCTTTTTTTATTCAGCTATATCATAAAAATCATTCAATTTTTAAAACCAAATGTTGTCAAACCAACAAAACAAACATTTTTATCTGGCCATGGCCATGGAACAAAATGTTTTTGTCGAAATGATATGATATTCTATCATCCATTGGGATGATGAGGATGCGCACGTGTGTATTCATATTATAGACACACACATCATTATCAACAAAAGATCATATGATGATGATGATGATGATCAGTAAAAATGATAAAATGTGCAAAAAAAGTCATAACTTTAAATTTATCTTCCACACTGTGTGTGTTTAATGTTTGAATGTTTGAATGGCGATGAAAACGATATCGTCGTCGTCGTCGACGTTTTGTCCCGAACCATCAACCATCAACCAACAACAAATGGCATCCCGAAAACGAAAATTATAAAAGATTTTTCCTTCACTCACTCTTTTCTCGTTAATTTTTTACGACTTTTTTTTTGCTGTCCCCTTTATTTTCACCCATTTCAAATTCATTCAATTTTGAATTTTTTACATTCAATTGATTGCAACGCGTGTTTTTTCCTTCAATTTTTGGTGGTCACTTTCCAAAAAAAACGAACAAACAAAGTGAACGGAAATGACAGATTGGTCGATGATAAACAGAAAAAAATCTGAATCTATAATAAAAATTGAATCCAGTTTTTCCGACTATTTCCACCAAATTCGTAAGGATTATTGGTGAAAATAAATTTCTGAATGTTTCAACTTTGTTTTTGTTCAATATTAGATTGAAAAAAGATTTGATGATCAGTCAGACACACGGTCAACAACAATGATTTTAGTTTAGTTTAGTAATATCTTGGTTTTTTTGGTCGTAAAAAAAAATTTTCGCCAACAAAAACAACAAAAATAAATAAATTTTGTTCAGCATCGGTCGGTAATAAAAAAAAGGAAAATCGATTTTCTTCATTTTTTGTGTTTTGTGTTTTGTCTCGTCGATTCACAAATTGGACGGGTATTATTATGGTAACATTTTTTTTTTGTTTTGTTTGGGACAGTTATACGAGGATAATGTTCATTTTACTTCATCAAAACAAGATTTTCACTTTCAATCAACATCGCCATCAACGGGATTCATGATCAGATCTTGGCTGGATGGAACCATAAAATCTCTTTCTTTTTTTTCGAAGATTATTATTCGAAAGAAGATAGAAAAGTTTTGATAGAAATTTTCTTTTGTTTGTTTATACGATTTTCTTTTTTTTGTATCGTAAAAATTTGGCGAATTTGTTACTTTTTTTTCATTATCATCATCATCATCAATTCAATTCATGATCAAATCAAATTGATTTTGCTGCTGCTTTTGCTTGCGACTATTGCTACAGCACCTGTTTGTTTTTTTTCGTTATCGGATCATTTTCGTTGTTTTTTTGAATTTCGCATTTAATAACCATAATTTTCTTTGAAAAGAAAAATTGAAAAATTCAAGCAACCAAACAGAGCGATATTATATAAGAGGATCATCATCAAAACTATTTCGACTCGTCTGGTTTTTTTTTCGTTTTGTTTTGTTTTTGATCCTATATAATACGATTTAACACTTTGATGATGGTCGTGTTTGTTATTTTCATCGTTTGATCCATGGTGTGGCGTCGTCCACGATCAATGATGGTCATAGAGAACATTCATCATTTGGTGAATCTTTGAGGGTTAACAACAAATAAAAAAAAGATCAAAAGAATTTTCTTCATTTTCATATTTTTTTTTATTTCCATTTTTGACATGTTTATGACCATCATCATCATCATCATCATATTCATCGAAATTCAATCGAAATCGAGAATTCAACATTCGAGTTTTACTCCAAAAAGAATTTCCATTTCGAGAAAAAAAAGAGTGAAATGAAAATTGTTTGCCAAATAACTTTGGCATCAGGTTCTTCTTGTCGTTAAGTTTTTTTCCCATTTTCAATATTTTGAATATTTGAAAATGGGAAAAAAGCTAACTTGACTAAATAAAGTCATATTGGACGAATGAAATGAAATGAGATGTTATAACTGAATTCCCAGTAAATCGTAAGACATACACGCGTCAAACGCAAATATTTGTATAACATCAAATATGCAAATAATGGAAAAAATTAATATTTTTTTTTTCAAAATTTGAATATAGAAATCGATTGAATTGTCATTTTGTTTTTTGCTGTTTTTCTCGTTGACATCGTTTATTTGAAAAATTCCCGGAAATTTACAAAAAAAAATTTCTCATTTTGAATTTCGATAATGAAAATATCTTTGGTTCGTTTTGCATCTTAAAACATTTGACCACCCATCAAGGATTTAATGATGATGATTATTATCATCATCGCTTCTTGTCATCATCATTATCAAGTATCAAAGAATTGATGGCTGCGCAAAGAAGATTTGATATCTTTGGTTGTCAACACAACAGGTATTTTTTTTTGGTCGTTTATTGAATGATGATTTTGATGATAACCTGTGAATCCCTTAAAAGAAACTTTCCAAGAAATCTTTCAATTGACATACATGATGTAATTAAGATATATTTTTTTGTGAAAATGATGTAATTTGTGAATTTTTGTCTCCATTCTCCGAACAACAACAACAAAAATGATGATGGTTATTATGGAAAAAAAAATATATAAAGGATCTTCATTGCTCCATTGTCAAGGATTTTCATTGTTGTTTTTTTCATTTTTTGTTTTTGTGTTTTTCCAGTTGTTCCATTCAATGATCATGACCATCATTATAATTATCATCATCCACAAAACAATCACCACAAAACCCTTTTTCTTCATAACTAACCGATTGATTTTCATCTTTTTTTTTTGGTTTTTTGGTGGCCAATTTTTATGACCATCATTTTGCTGTGGCTGTTTTTTTACTGGAAAATTTTCCCTGTCCATCATCATCATCGATCAAATTCAATTGTTGAATTTCAAAACAGTTTTTTTGTTCCGGACCATCGGTTTTTGGTAATTTTTCCTTCTTTCTTTTTTCTCATTTTGGTTATTTGGTTGCTTTTTCGGTCAAAATTTTAGTCGAAATTGTTTTGCAAGGCCACACCTTCATTGTTATTTGTGTGTGTGTGTGAGACAAGCTCGAACACACCCCCTATACCAACAATTTGATGATTGGTTCTGGCTATATATGTTTGTGGTTTTTTTTTAGTTGTCTGCTACCACTACTACTATTCGGCTACCTCAACAATAAAAAAAATTGACACTATAAAATAAATTTTTTTTTTCTTCCTCCCGACTTTTTTGATGATGATGAATTTTTTCGTTTGTTTGTTTGCCAAAATAGTTCAGTGATTGATGATGATGATAAATGTTCATTAATGTTCATTAAGATTGATTATCTAATCAATTTTGATTGAACAAAATCCTTAAGTTTTTAAATGATAAAACGTTATCGATGATGTTTTGGTTGGTGTTTGTTTTTTTTTTTAATTTGAAATTAAACTTGTTAAATTAGTTTAAATTTTTTATTTTATTTTTCCAAAAAAAAACGCAAATAAAATTGTAAATCAGGATTTATTCAATTTTTAAATATTTACAACGGAATTTTTAAAGGGAAAAAAACGAATGACAAACTAAAATCAATCAAACTCTCGATTCTGTCTATTCTGTTGAAATCAATCAATCAGTCAATCAATCGATCGATCGATCGATAGCAAATTGGACAAAAAAAATGAAAAGAAATTTGCAAGAAATCAAAGACAAAAAAGATTTTCTATTTATAAATGAATGAATGAATGAATGATGATGATGAATGTTGAATAAATTAAATTAAATTAGATTAATCGATCAATCAATCAATCAATAATGTTCAATTAAGATGTTCGATGATGACGTTCCGAATTACGTTGTATTGTTTTTTTATTTTTCATACGACGATTTTGAAACCATATTTTCACCTGACGTTCGGTTAGATTTAAATTCCTTGCTAATTCCCAACGTTTTTGTTTCGATACATATTGATTGAATAGAAATTCTTTTTCCAATTCTAATGTTTGAAATTTTGAATATGGTTTACGTTTTTTTCTTGTCGATATATGATGTTGATGTTGATGCGAATGTTGTTGTTGATGATGATTACCACCACCACCACCACCGTTGTTGTTGTTGTTGATCATTATCGGTGTTACCGATAATGATGCTGATGCCGATGATGATGAAGATGATGCTGTTGATGATAATGATGTTGGCGTTGTTGCGACTACAGTTGCGGCTGTTTGATTTACTGACGTTAAATTAGTTTGATGCGTTGGATGATTACTGATGAAATTATTATTCGGTGTTGATTGATGCAAAGATGGATGATGATGATGATAATGTGGATGTTCATAATGTTGATGATGAGGATTCATCATCAATCCACTTGCGGTATTCCCATTTGACCATTCTAAACGATCATGATAATGATGAGGATGATTAGCGGTTATTGTTGGATTAGCTGCTTGATGAAGCAATGCAACCTGATGTTGCAGTACAGCGGCTGCCGCATGATGATGATGGTGTGGATGATTTGTTGCAGCAGCAGCAGCAGCCGCAGCGGCAGCTGCTGCTGCCGCTGCATGATGATGATGATGATGATTTGCTGCTGCTGCTGTTGTTATCAATGTTGTCGCAGTTTCATCAATTCCTAAATTCGTAAAAAAAGATTTGAAATTAGCAATTTTGAAAATTGTTGTGTAATAAAAAAAGAAATAACATTTATGTTGCTGCAATTTTATTACCAGGCCCAAAACTGACCAATGGCTATTTACACTTTGATTTGTCATCGATGACCTACCGAGAGAGGTCAAAAATCGATCATGTCACTTTGCCTTTGCCAAAACAAAAAAGCCACTGTTATCAACGGTTATTCATTGTAAACAAACAAACAAACAATCGATTAAATTGAACAAAGAAGCCGCCATTCTATTTTTGGATCATCAATGAATCAATGTTTGGTTGTTTCACCAAAAATGGTTTTATTACGTAATTATTTGAAAGAACCAAACAACAACAACAACAATCAAACAACCAAATGAATTTCATTTCAAAAATGAAAAAAAACTTTTACTAAATTGAACCAATTTCAATGTTTTTTTCTCGGTCTTAAAGTATTTTTTATTTTATTTGAAATTTTCTATTTTATTACATCATGGGGTCATTCGGGTTTTCGATGTCACCTACACACACACAAACATACAGTGTGTGCTCGAATTAGTTTGTTTTTTCTATCACGAAAAAAAAATTGTCAAAAAATTTTTCGGTTAACCTTTCTTTTTTTTTTGCTTTATTTCATCTAATTTCATCCGAAACAACAACAACAACAACAACATTGCCCACCCAAATTGGCAACAAACAAAAACCGATTCTATTTTTGGATCAACAGCAGAGAGAGAAATTCTTTGCCAAAAAAACATTTGGTTTGGTTAAAATAGTCGCGTATCGTGTTTGTTTGTTGCCATTTTATTCCTTGAATATCTTCTTCTTCTTCTTTATTTATTATGTAAATGTTATGTCAGATGAATGTCGAAAAGAAATAAAAATGAAAAAAATTTTCACTGTTTGGGTCGAGAATAATAATAAAAGAAGTGAAACCTTTTTTTATGATCTTTTTTTCCTATTGAATCAAAAAGATTCTTAGATTGAATTGAATCGAATCGATATGACATAACTTTGTCTTTTTTTGTCTCGAATTGATCCAATTTGACTAATGGAAATCAAACTCGAGCCAAAACTAACAAATTCAGCCATTTTCAATCTCGCTCTCTCTCTCTACTCTACCATTTTCTATTTTCAAAAAACAGAGCTAATAGACCACGCGAAGGCCATAAAATGTTCATCATCCAAATTTATTTTACCATTTCAAATTCATTCATTTCATTCATGCATGATGATGATTGTGTCTACCATTTTGAGAAACGCGAAAGTCAAAAACAAAAATTGATGATGAAGAAGAAGGAAGAAACAACAACAACAACAAAAAAACACATAAAAATAAGATTAATCCATTGCCAAAAGTGAATTTATTTCATTTCATTTCATTTGCTCGAATTGTACAAAAGTCAATTTTTGTGTTTGTGTTTGTTTGGTTTGTTTGGTTGGTTGGCGTGTTTCATTTCGTTTCGTTATTTTGGCATTTTCAAATCACCAGAAAAAAACTATCAACATTCAATCTTGATGATGATTCGCAGGGAACGTTGATGATACCAAGAGAGAGAGAGAGAGAGAGAGAGAAAACTATCATCATCATACATATCATCATTCGATTTGATTCTTTCTATTTCATTGACATTTGACCTGATGGCTATTTCTACCGTTGTTGTTGTTGTTGTTGTTGTTCATGTCCAACATTGATCATTATCATCATTATTAACAACAACAACAGCAACATTATCTAAAATACATGATGATGATTGCCTTATCATTGCTGACCTGTAAAATGGATGAATGAATGAAAAAAAAAATCTAAATTTCAAATCTAAATATCATTGGTGGTATATATTGGTTGATGGTTGATGGTGGCTTGTACATTTTACGACCTTTATCATCATCATAAGTCAAGGGAAAATAGCAATGATGATATGAGAATGTGGACATGATCTGAATGCAAGATTGGTTTGTTTTTTGTTTTTTTTTGATTTCAATGATGATAATGATATTCTTCTGTTAGGATCACTGTTCGATTCACTGGTCAATTCAGTGGACAATAATTCCGGAATAATAATCCTTTCCACAATGATATGGATGATTGGTGATAATGATGATTGGTGATAAAATTGTCGTTTACATTTCTCATCATCATCATCATCATCATCATTTAAGTATCGTACGATTAACAACATCTTAATTATCATCATTATTTTCCTAAACCATATAAACATTATCATCATCAAACAACCATATATATTTGATCATGAAACTTTTGATTAGTTAATTAATAACCAAAAGTTTTTCGTAAAATAACTTTTTTTGACTAAAATTCTATAGATGAAAGATTCTTTATTTTCCTTTTTACAATGTTACCAATGTTGTTTAGTTTTCCTCATTTTTCAAATCAAATCAAAACCATTTCCTTCCTCAAATGTCTCTCTCTTTCTCGATTGTTTTGCATTCAAATTGTGACCAATAAAATTTATTTAACCCTTTCATTTCAATTTTTCATTACCACAATCAACATTCAAACAAACAAAAAAAGAATCATAAAAAAATAAATTCAAGTTTGCTTCATCATGGCCACACACACACACAACAACAGGAAAAACTGTCAATGATCTTTGGAATTACATTTTTTCCAAGGAAAATATGGAAAAATTGATCCAAGTAATCAATATTTGATTTTTTTTCGGTGGTTATTAGGGTTAAGCGAATTTGGAAAAGTTGGCTTCACTGCCCTTATTTTTCGACATTAAGCGTGCGTGCGTGCTTGTATGCATGCCAAAAAAAACAAACTCTATAAAGATTCAATTTTTTTTTCCTATTTCCACACAGCAAAGAAAATCAAAAAATGATCAAACTTTTGCTACAAACATCTGCCATTTGCTCTCTCTCTCTCTCTCTCTCTCTTTCTCTCTATGTTTCTACCACCATCATCATGATCAGTCGAATAAAGAAAAACTTCGATGATGATAATGATTCCCATGATTAGAAACGAAAGAACGAACGAACATTTGGATGATATAATAATCTCATCATCATCATCGGCAAGACGCTATAGGCTGAAGGTTGAATGAATGTTAAAAAAAGCCCTGCGGGAAATGAACTAAACTGAACTGAAACGAAGAAAACATTCAATCCAGACTGAAGAAAAAAAGTTATAAAATTTTGATCAAGACAGACTTTGATGCTAATGATGAAGATCAGTTTCAAACATTCAGACATTCATTTTCGATTGAATTGAGAGAGAAAAAATCTTGAAAAGAAACCTTGAAATTTTTAGCATCCTGCAATCCTACAAAAAAACTTACCTAAATTTGTTGTCGAATTGTTGTTGTTGTTGGAATTTGGATCACCATTTGTTTGAATTGTATCATCCTCATTATCATTGGAATTGGCTGTTGTTTGTTGTTGTTGTTGTTGATCGATTGTCGAAACAATTTGATTTGATGGTGATGTTGCAATCGATTTTGTTTGATGATTTAATTGTTGTTGTTGTTGTTGTTGTCCATTTTGTCCACCATTGATCGATGTTGACCATGATTGATGATGATTCAGATTCAGATTCTGTTGTTGATTGACTGTTGTTGATGATGATGATTGTTGTGTTGCAGCAACCATACGTTGCATTGCTGTATGATAAGTTGATGATGATATTGGATCCATTGGAAATGTTGTCGATGATGATGATGATGATGGTGGTTGTTGTACATCCAATGTTTCGGCTTTTAACCCGTATAAATGATGATGGTGTGAATGATGATCATTCGATTGATTCATATCCGATTTTAATCCACCATAAAGATGATGATGATGATGATGATGATCGTTTCTTGATTGATGATGCGGATGATGATGTGGATGATGATAAGGATTAGGATAACCACACCATGCGGCTGCTGCAACATGATTTGCAGCTGCAGCTGCAACTGCAAACGATGCAAATGGATCATTTGCCATTTGATGATGCGGATGCGAATGTGGATGTCCAACGTGTGAATGAGATGTATAGGGATTATGTGGTTGCGGATGCGAATGAGGATAATGTGATGATGGATTTGTTGTTGTTGTTGACATAGAACCAGAATTCGTAGCAGAAGTAGCGCCACCATTCATCATCATTGATGAATCATATGAATTTGACCAGAATGCTGATGCGGATGATTTGAATGAAGATGATGATGATGATGATGAACTACCAATACTACCACCGCTAGTTGTCGCTGCTGATAATTGTTTATTACGATTTGTAGCAATAGCTAATGCGGCGGCCGCTGTTATTTCATGGTTCGCAGATGATCCATATGATGCGACCGAATTTAAATTATGACTATCATTATTTGTTGTTGTTGTTGTTGTTGAACAGCTTGCTGGCGTTGTTGAGATCCCATTTCCAGATGTCGATGTTGATGATAATGATTCTATGGTTGGTAACAAACCATATGATGATGATGATGATGATGAATGATGATGATGATTTTTCATTGATGTTCCATTGATTGATGCTGCGGATGGGGATGAGGTATAAATATCAAAATCATATCCACTGGCGTTTGGTGTTATTGATGGCCATATTGGTGGTGGTGGTGATGAATTAATCGTCGATGATGTGGATGCTGAAATCAGGCCACCACCGCCACCAATGCCACCACCAACAACAACAGTTTGTGGTTGTTGTAATTGTTGAGATTCATTGGAATTTGAACGCATTTTTGAATGAAAACAATGTTTTTATTGTTGTTCTTCGAAATTCGTCAAAATTGAATGAATGAATGAATGATAAATTAATCGTTGTTTGGGTGGTCGTCGAATCATCCAAAAAAAATATCTGAATTTGTAGAATTTCCGAATGATCAATGATCAACACAATAATCGATTATTGATTGGTCAAACAACACAGAAACGAAACACAAACAAACAAACAAACAAACAAACAAATCATGTCTGTTTTTCGGTTATTTTTAAACTACCAAGAAAAAAAAAACGTTGTGTGAATTAAAAAAAAATGATTGATTTGTTGATTGATTCATTAATCATCATAAAATTGTAATTAATAAAATTAATTTATAAACCTTAATTTATTAAAATCACTGTATTTATGAATGATGATGATGATTTAATAATATTATTCATCAATAAATGTTGATGACACACACCCACACACACAAAATTGATGGTAATAAAGACGATAATAATAATAATTATTATTATTATTTTGATGATGACCACACACACACACATTAACACTCATAAAACACACACATTTTGAAAATAAAAAACATTATGTAACATTTTGTAATAAACACTTTTCAACACTCAAAGAAAGATTTTTTGATGATGAACCAAAATTTGATGATGATGATGATGATCATTGATGGTGTTTTTGGCTTGTTGATTTTTTTATTATTATTTTTTTATTTGAAGAAAATAAAAAACTGAAATTAAAACAACAATAAAAAAAAAGAATATTATGTATTTTGTTTGTTGCTGTTCAAATGTGATAATCATAAAAATTTCATTTGATTTTTGAATCAGAAATTCAGAAATTCTGATTTTTGGTTTGGTCGAACAAATTCATTGATTGATTTGAATAATTAGGAGAGAGAGAGAGAGAGAGAGAGGGGTTAATGATGATAACCGAACGATGGATGATCAAATCCTTTATTTTCGATCGACGACTATTTTAACATTATCATCATCCAGTATCATCATAAAAAACGCATTTTTTGATGATGATTCTCTCATTAAACCACCATCATACTTTTGCGAAATAACCAAATAACCAAAAACAAACATAAATCGGTTGATTGTCGTAAAAAAAATATTGTTAAAGAATTATTGACAATAATAATAATAATAATTTTTATTACATCATCATCATCATCACTGAATATCATCATCATCATCAAAAAAAANTTTGTTTCTCTATGGTAAGTACGTTTCTTATTCGTATCATATCATCATCTGGACTTGAATTCTTTTTGTTTCGTTGTCTTTATTGGTGATATGTTTTTTTTTCTTCTAGTTTTTCATAGAAGTATGGAGTTATAGTTAGTGGTGATATGTTTGTGTGTGTGTATTTTGAATGATATTTTTTTCTGGAGTTTGCGCAGTTTGATCAATGTTTTTTTGGAGGATTCAAAAATAGAAGATTAACGTGTGTTTTTTTCTTACAGCAAGTTTATATTCTTCAGAATTGTGAAATCATTTTTTTTGTATGTTTTTTTTGTTTTCAATGTTTGCATTTTGGATGCGCAATAAAAAAACGCACACTTGCACACACAAATTAAAGAACAAGAAGGGAAGAAAATCATGAAATTGAAAACATTGATTCCATCACATACAGACTTACTGAATGACTAAATGAATAGCAGAACTTTTTTTCCAAGCATTCGAAATTAAACATGGCAGCTGATGTCGATGATGATGGCAAAATTGTACAAAAATTCTTTCTTTTCATTCATTTCAACAACAAATCCAAATGGAATTACCAGCCAAATAAAACATAGCTACATTCATTCATTACCGATCCCAACCAAAACAACATACCGTTGGCCAAACGACGACAATGAACGAAGAAACATCATCATTTTAGATTCATCGTTGTTGTTGTTGTTGCTGTAGTAATGATGATAATAAAAAAAGAAGAAAATATGATAATAATCCGTAGCACAAATACGTGTGTTTAGTGTAGTAAAAAAAACGTTGATTACACTGGTGATGATCATGAAAAAATGCTAATAAAAATCATCCCGAAAAACATTAAAAATAGACACAGGGAGAGAGAGAGGGAATAATTTTCTCATTCAAATGATGAGATTTTGAAAATTTTCAAAACAAAACAACATTTTTCAAATTTTCAATGTTTCAACAGAAAAAAAAACAAATATCTTGGTGGTGGTATCACCACAGAGATGAATTTCTACCATCATCATCATCATCATCAACAACACTCCCTTTTCTCTTTTTCTAAATGCCCAAAACTAACTTTAATTCATCAAATTGGTTACCTCTCTCTCTCTCTCTATGTGTGTTTGAATTCTTGATCAATTTTTTTCAAGTTTCAAGTCTGGTTGGCCAATTTGAATCGCTAGTTGTCATTCTGTAGTCGCTTTGCTATACAACTACCTCTACTTTAATGAAAGGCTCCACCCCCTTCAAAATCGTTTTTCATCCAACCAGTTATTTCAATTTACTTTTCTGTCTGTCTTGTTTTGTTGCAGCAATTTCATTTGATTTTTTTTTGTTGCTGGAAATTTTCCTCTTTCCCCCTTCCTCCTCGATTGATGGAATTTGAATTTCAAAATTTTTTTTTTTCAACCACACGCCAAATGAAACAAAATCAATCCATTTCGACAGACAATGAATGAATGAATGTCGTAAAAAAAATTTGTAACATCTTGATGTCTTTCCTTGATACAGTTGTCTATTTGACGATGATCATGATGATAGTTCTTGGGTAAATTGATGATGTTTGCGCAAAAAAGTTGTTAAACAAGGATTTTTCTTTTGAATATATAAAAAAACAACAGACAAAACTGGCTTCTGAACACATGATACTTTCGAAGAAACAAGAAGAAAATCATAAAAGTTGTTGCTGTTCGTCTCTCTCAATAATAACGATGATGTTCCAAAAGAAATCAAGATTTTTAAAAAAAAACTACCACTCTATTTTTCTATTTTTTCTTCATTCGACAATTAGATTATTAATCAGATTCATTTAAGATCATCATCATCATCATCATCGTCTTCGTTTATGAAAATGATGTGATAATTTCTTTGACAAAATTGAAAAGCTTATGACAATTATTATGTGTTTTAAACGAAAAAGAAAATTGATAAAACAAAAAAAAACAACAATGGCTACTTTTTTGGACAAGATTATCATATTTGATAAGACGGGTGCCATTAATTATGGAATGAAATAGCAAAAACTATTTTCACTCTACTGTGTCCTATAACAAGATTTTTGTTTTTGTTTTTTGTTTTAATGATGATGGTCAATGGTTATAATCTACTAATTTATCTGCTGACTAAATTTGCTTGATTATAACGATTATGATTAGGACCACCATTATCGCTGTTGTTTAATCATAATGATGATGATGATGTGAAAATTGTTTGTTTCGAAAATCATAATTATTATTATTATCATCCAAAAATGATGAAAGAAAGTAACTAATTGTTGAAGCCAGTGAACTCATTTAAATCAAATCAAAAGAAGAATAGTACCATCAATCAATCTTGAAGAAATCAAATGCAAAAAAGTATTACATTGTAAATCAATCATGACAATGAAATTTGAACATTAAAAAGAAAAGAAAAATTAAGATAAAAAAACAATCAAACAAACAGCCAACCAACCAAAATTTGATGAAATAAAATAAAAAAATTTGAAACAAAAATTGATTAGTAAATTGAATACGAAAAAACAAAACAAAAACCCGTTTATAACTAAAAACTTGATTGGGTAGGTTGTAAATGACTAAAACCAAAATAACCAAATGAATGAATGATGACAATGGCAATTGGTTAGTTGTTCGGACCACACCTTCAATGTGGGTGGGAATTTCAGGGTAAAAGACACGCCTTTTTATTCTATGCAACTGCATACAAAACCAAAAAGTGTCATGCGCATTTCGAAATGTCAAATTTATTCGAATTGATAGTGAAATTTTTTGTTTAATTTTGTTGTTTATTTCGGCCATAAAGTTTTTTTTATGATTCTCATTAATCAATCTTTCAAATCAATCAAATTAATTAATCATTCGATTGATTGATTGTTTGTTTGATTAATTTTCTTTTAATTAGTGGTAAAAGTTTGGAATTTTTAATCAGAGAGAAGATTGAAGATTTTTCTCTTATTTAGAAAAATTAATTAATAAACATTGTTCATCATTTGGATAATCGGGTAAATTTAATTGATATTTTCGAGCTAATGATTGTGGTACGAAACGACCACCCAACCAATGTAATTGACCATGAAAATATTTTGCACATTTTTTCGGTGCTGTCAATGATACTAGGCAATCCGGTTTGATGATCGGTGTTGATAATTGTTCATTTTCAGATGATGGTGGTCCTTGTTCAACATGCCAACCACTTGGTATATCAATCGAAATTAAACGTTTTTGTTGATGATCAATTCGAGCTAAATATTCCAATATTGGTCGTGATTCTGATCGTAATGGTGGTTTATAACTAAAACCAAATAGAGCATCAACAATCAATTCATATCGATCTAAATTATTATC